GTGCTTCCCAGGCCCCCATCTCCAGGCCACACGCCTGAGCTCAGGAACTGAGTGGCCACCTGCTTGGTGGACCTGGCACCTGGAGTCCCTCAAGTACCTCACACTTACTGTCCAGCCTGGAGCTCATCAGCTTCCTTCACGAAAGCCTTCCGCCTCCCCCATCCCAGTAATGAGGGTGCTTTGTTGTCTCAGGAAGGACCCCGAGAGCCTTGCTTCTCCCCGGCATCCACACCACCAGTCCTGCCAGCTGTCCTTTCAGCACCCATTTTCCGTGTCCCCTGCCCCGTTCTCAGGATGCCGACTTCACCTGCACCACATTCATCCTCTCTCACCTGAACCATCACAGCAGTCCCCGTGTCTTCTTTCCTGACCAACTTCGTCCCACCAGGAGGAACTTTTTAAAGCATGTTGGATGGGGTCACATGCCGTATCACAAGGCTTGGATGGTTCAGAGTAAGGGCCAGACCCCTAGCTGGGCACAGGGCACTCCGCAGACCGATTCCAGGCTACAGCACAGCCTCCCACGGCCACATGGTGACCACAGCACCACAGGACCACGACAGACGCCTGGGAGTTCTTCCAAGTACTCTTGGGGCTTTCTCACCTCTGTGCCTTTGTTCATGCTTATCTGAAGGTTCTCTGCACCATCTGGAGCCCTTCTTACCCCGGTGAGGTCCTCATGTACAGAGAGATGCAGCTCACATCTCATGGAATGTCTGTATCGTCAGGTGGGAGGGGGCTCCTGAGCTGGAACCTTGTCTGTGTTTGCATCTCTGGTGCCTGGTACATAATAGTGGCTCAAAAGGTATTTGTGGAAGCAAATTGAGTATTTTTAAAATAAGTCTTTAGTACCGTAGCATATTTCATTAGAGTATAAAGCCACCTGGCAGCTGTATTTGTTTCCTCAGGCTGCTGTAAACAATTATCCCAAACTTGGTGGCTTAAAGCCACACAAGTTTATTCCCTTACAGTCCTGGGAGGTCGGGAGTCTGAAACAGGTCTTACAGGCGAAAGTCGTGGTGCTGGCGGGCTGCGTGCCCTGTGGAGGCTCCAGCAGGAAATGTGTCCTTGCCTTCGCCCGCTTGGACAGGCTGCTGCCTTGCTGGGCCCGTGGCCCTGCTCCTGTCCTGTCGCTCGTAAGCGAAGTGCCTCCTTCTTTCCCTTGGGGTTGTGTTGGGCCCACCCCGGTCATTCAGGGGAACAGCCCCATCTCGGGATCCTTAATTTAAACACATCCGCAAAGTCTCTTTTGCCAATTAAGGTAACACAGGTTCTCAAAATTAGCCATTTTGGGAGGACCATTATTCCGTCCTCCACAGCAGCATTTTTTGAGAAGTCAGGTGCTGAAAAGCCAGGCTTTCAAAACACCGGTTGGGAGGTGTTTGGGTGTCATTCTGAACAGGAGAGAGATTAGTCGTCCGTGGACATCACTGCGCTTGGAGGAGGCTGTTGGGGGTGCCTCTGCTCCAGGACCCACAGAGAGGCTGCGCTGCCTCTCACGGTCACCGTGTGCTGAGCTTTCTGCTGTTTCAGAATGACCAGGGGTGTGTTTCATGGAAATTAAATGCAGGAGACGTGCAAACCTCTTTACCTCCACAGAGAGGAGAAGGGAAGACTTGTTTTTTCCTGAGAAGCAGATGACACCCCCGGAGGATTGGCTACTGGACTCATCCACTCCCATGGACCCCCCACCCCCACCCCGATCTCTCCCTCCCTCCCCGCTTGCCAGCCTGGCACCTAGGAGGGACCAGGAGAAGGCAGGGCTGTGAGGAACGGTGCCGAGTCCCCCAAACAAAGCCTGCGGCTACTGAGCTTTCCTTTTGGGAAGATAGGTGTTCCAGGTGGCTGCCTAAGGCGTTCATCGGCTTCTCCTGAGGCCGATGGCCTCATTTCCAGAAGAAAATGAAGATTAATAACAATTTTTTAAAAAAATGACTCCTAAGAGATTGCATATGGAAGAACAGAGGGCACCGGGCTGGCTTTGATTGGAATGATTCATCACCTATCGATCAGGACCTGTTCCATCCTCTCAGATGGTAACCTTGGAATCGTGGCGCCTGTAGGTCAGCCAGCAGTCACGGAGGCCGTGCCGGATCTGGAAGCTGACATCATAGCACATCGGAGCCCAAAAGGGCCCCTGGAAGCTATGCTCTTCCTGATTGTTGGCATAGCCCCCCTTACTTAGAGAAGAGCTTAGACTCCATGCCCAAGGTCGTGTTCCTCGGTGGACTCAGTAGCAGGACTAGAATGTGGGTGAATAAGCATTGAGACACACGCAAGGTCCTGAGGATCGGGAGGCCAGGCAGGCTGTAGTCTGGGGCGGACAGAGTGGGTGGAGTAGGGCAGGGAGGCCAGAGGGCAGCCAGTGGGGAGGTGCCGAGAGTAGGCATGGGGCCCACTCTCTGGGGCAGGGGACGGCTCCTCAGCTGGAGGAATGATGCTGGAAGGGTCAGGACAAGTTTTGGAGCTCCTGAAATCCAAAGATTGTAGGACTGTCTGTGGGTGGCCATAGAGCTTTGAAGAGATTTGGCCTCAGAAAAAATGGGGCCGAACATGGAATGCTGAAGAAGAGGAGTCGTGTGTGTGTGTTGAGACATTGTGTGTAACAGCCGGGGGGGCGCAGCAGCCAGTAACGGCTTCCCTCGGTCACAGGCTCCAGAGTGATGCCTTCTCTCTGTCTTGTTTAAGTGACATGCCGCCTTGAGGGTGGTTGAGGCTAGGGTGGAAAGGCCGCAGGACCAGCATGCACGAAGACTGCTCTCTGAGCACAGTCGGAGCCCAGCTCCTGCTCAGGTCCACCCGTTAGCCCTCCATCGCAGGACTTTCATGCCTCTGACCCCGGGCCAGCTTCCCAATGGGAAGGCAGGCGTGTGCTGCAGGCCCATGCTTACATAAGGAAGGCGCCCTCGGGACTATTAGGGCCAGACCTGGACCAGGTGTTAGGGATGAATAAGGCACAAATCGTCTTCTCGGAGCTGCAAGGAGTTGTGGGGAAGACACGCTTATAAACAGACACTATGGTACTGGTGCCCTGTAGGAGGTGCTGTGGCAGCACTGGGCAGGGCGCCCACCTGGCTTCCACTGAGCCCTGCACTGTGGCAAGGGCGGGGAGCCAGCACCGGCAAAGGCGAGAGCCTGTTCATGCCAGTGCAGCGGTGGGGCTGGCGAGGAGAGTGGGGTTCAGGACAATCGGGAGGTAATACAGGCTGAACATGGGGCTGGGGTGAGGGGAGTTAGAGAGGCTTCTGGCTCCAGCATGGAGGACACCAGCAGAGTAAGAGCAGGAGGAAGGAGGAGGAGGAGGTTGGGAGGTCCCGTGTGGACAGGCCAAGGTTACAGCGCCTTCGGGGCAGCCAGGTGGAGATGCCCCCGACCTGGAGCCCGGGCTCCAGGAGTCTGCGAGGGGCTGCCTGGGCAGGGCAGGGCCTTCATGCTGGCGGAGCGCCCATGCGCTTGGATCCCTGTGCCTTTCCAGGGACACTGGGCATCTCCTGGGGAAGGTATCAGTCACAGTCTGAAAAGACCATTAGTTCTTACATTAAGAGAAATGATTAAAAATAAGTTCACCCATGGTTATGTCAGCAGACAGTGTCCTGGCTTGGCACCAAATGCAAAGACATCGTTGGGACCTGCCCCCAGACAGGCGCATCTGGGCATTTGTTTCCATGAACACTTGGCTCCTTGAACCGCTGTCCTCCGGGAGAAACAGTGAGAAACTGAGTCATGTGGGTGGGTCTTCCGAAGCCCGGTGATGGGGTGGTAGTTGTCCTTCCCGTCAGTGAAGTAGACGCTCCAGCCTGGCCCAGCGGCCCGCTCTCCGTGGGGTCCGAGCGGTGCCGGCCGGAACCGGGGCCCCTGGCAGCACTTCCGTCTGGGGCGTCTCTGTGTCTCTGTGTCCCCGCCCACCCGTGACTGCCCATCATCCGCTTTCTCCAGCAGCTGTGGTCGGCCCTTTTCTGTGCACGTGTTTACACGTCAGAGCCTGTTGTTCGCTTTGCTGCCCCACTGCGTTCGTTCCAGTGTCACTCACGCAAGTCCGTGTTCTTCTCAAGCCTGTTTTCTGTTCTGTTATCGTAACATTGGTTTCTCTGGGGAGAAGGTTTCTGTGAAATCTGGTTTTCATGAAGGGTTGTTGGAGACTCCAAGACACCCATAGACCAGGTCAGGGGACAGCAGACGGCATGCCTCGTTTTATTGCACTTCTTTACTACGCTTTGCAGACAGTACATTTGTTACAGACTGAAGGTTGTGGCAACCCCACTCTAGCAGATCTCTTGGCAAGTTTCTCCAATAGGCTCCAAGGATGGTTAGTGTTTTCCAGTGGTAGAGCATTTTTTAATTAAGGTATGCACGTTATTTTTCTAGACACAGTGCTATTGCACACTTCGTAGATTACAGTGTAGTGGAAACATAACTTTCATATACACTGTGAAGCCAAAAATTTCACGTTACTCGCATCATTGGGGTGGTCTGGGACTGATCCCACAAGATCTCCAAGATACACCTGAAACATTGCTGGAGGCCAAAACAACACAACTACGGCTGTCCAACTCTGGGCACATCCTGAGGAGTCGGGGTTCTTCGGAAAAGGCAGTGATGCTGGGAAACAGAAGGCAGCGGGAAAGGAGGAAGACCAACGAGGAGGTGGATGGACTGACACCATGAGAGAAGCCGTAGGCAGGAGTCTGCAGGGGCAGGGCAGGGCTGCTGAGGACGGGACACTGGGGACATCACTCAGTCACGGGGTCACCGGGAGTCAGAGCTGGCTCCATAGCACGTGACACGCGCATGCCTATAGCCATTTTACTTAGAAATGAATTCCTGATATCCATAAAACTGTTCCTCTGTTTGAGGTAGCTGTAGAGTTGTTGTTTTTTTTAACCATTGCATATGTCAGTTTACCGCTGACATACTGACTATAGCTCAGCTAACCTTCATCACCAGAATACGTTGGTAAATGTTCTTTTTTGTAATGTACTGATACATTTTTGTTTGCACAGAGATTTTGCTTATGTAGCAAGAGACAAAGATACAAGAATTTTGAAATGTCATGTATTTCGATGTGACACACCAGCAAAAGCCATCGCCACAAGTCTCCACGAGATCTGTTCCAAGGTAAGGTGGGCAGGGCGCAGTGGTCCCTCCCTCTGTTACCGTTTCCCCGCCGAGCAGGGAGAGGGGTGTGCAGGGGTGGGGTTGTGCGCCGTTGGCCTGCGTCTGAGCTCCTGAGAGACAGGCAGCCCGTGTGTTCAGCCAGTGGCATGTCAGGCATTGCTGTAAATAGCGCTCCATCTACAAAATGAGCAGAGCTTTAGTCCCGCCCAGGCTGGGGGTGCAACAGGTGGACAGAACAGTGGCAGATGCAGTGGTGCAGAGGCATAAATCGATCCCGGCACCAGAGCCACCTGATCTGACAAGGAACACAGAAGGGAGGGTGGTGAGAAGCCCCCTCGGGTCTCTCTGGAAATGCAGGCAGCTGGGGGCTCCCACGAACACACACCGACTCCTTGAGGACACCAAGCAGCTCATGGAAACCGACCAGCTGTGAGGCAGGACTGGGGTCACCATCTCACATTGGTAAGGGGCCCACTCCCTTTGCCAGAGTCATGGAGCCTCAGAATGAGAACAGACGGTCGGGCATCCTCCCTCCCTTCCGCCAGCACAGCGTCCTAAACAGGCATCTCCGCCCCCACCCGGCACTTCCATGGACTTGACCTCCCTCAACAGGCTCTTGTACTTGCAGGAGCCTGTTCCGCCACTGAGTGGATCTGTTACAGAGTTCTTCCTTGTGTTGACCTGAACTCTCCCTCTCTGGAACCTCTGTGTGTTTACTTGAGATCCGTGATCCGTAGCCACAAAGATTCCCCCAGTTTGTGTCTCAGCAGGGCAGCCCTTTGTTATGTGAAGGTACTTGAAGCCATGCACCGTGCCTGGTGCATTTAGGGGTGCCAGACAAGTATCTCAGTCATTCTGCTCCTGACTTCCTTCCTTCTCCAGAACCCTCTCCCCTCCCTCCTTAGCCACTTTCAGGTCACGTGGTTACCAGGCTCCTAACCATCCTCTTCTGGGCGTCCTCGGGTGGGTTCCCCGGAGGAACACTCCCAAAGTGAGCCGGAGGAGAACAGACCGTGGGCCACCCTGTCCTTCGACCTCCAGGGATACAGTTCTGGGGTGATTCGTGCCCTTAGCAACCACATCACCTGCTGGCCTGCATTCAAAGAGTTGGCTAAACCCCCAGGACACTGTCACCGACTTCCTGCAGCCAGGACTTTGCCGCCACCTCTGTCAAATGTCACCTCTCTGGTTTTGTGCCGAAATCATGGCTCAGCCTCACCCTCACAGTTCCTCCTGAGCTAACAAAGCTCAGGCCATGACTGCAGCCACCACCATGGCTCAGGCTAGCATCGGAATGGCAGGAGTGAAGCAGGTGCCAGCCAGTTCCTGCAGGAGGAGATGGCCGGGAGCTGTCCCCAGCCCCAGAAGCAGTCTCCCCGCCTGCTGCCCTGACCCACAGGACAGGGACTTGCAGGATGAGTGCTGGTGTAGAGGTCACCACGTTTGTCCCAGCCCGTAGTCACACACTCGCCTAGACAGGACTGGAGCGTGGCTGCACCCTCCGCAGCATTGTAGCCACTCCCCACGTGTTGTCCCCTTCATTCATTCACGCAGCAGATAGAGCTGAGCGCCATTGATACGCCAGGCACTGCTCCGAGGACACAGCAGAGACAAAAAAGGCGGCAGGGGCAGGGGATAGGGGGATCTCATCCTTATAGAGCTTGTATTCTGCCTAGTGTAAAGCCCCCAGAGAAGAGCCTGCCACAGAGGAAGTGCTCAGTAAACACTCCAGTTTACCGCTGCCGGCAGCCTCGCACCTGCTGCCCAGGGCACAGGTGGGGAGATGGGCGGGGCGGGGCGCGGGGAGGCAGAGTGTTTCGTTCCAGCTGCAGTGGAAAGCGTGGGCTGGGGATGAGGACGTGAGTGGCTTTGGGGATCATGGGAGGGCGGGCTTCCTTCATTCCCTAAACCCACAGCACTGTACACGGGAGTAAAGTGATGACCCTGCTGATGGAAAGAGACAGTGTGGAAGACAGCTGACAGATTTAGACAGTTCGAGAACAGCGACAATGATAGCAGCTAATATTTCTGAGTGCTCGCATTTAATTCTCAGACCTGACATAAGGTTATTATTAGGGACACAGGCATCCTCCCCTCGTGCAGTGGAGGAAAGGAAACAGGAGACAGGCAGTCCGGGGGCTTGCTCAGGGTCACGGAGCCAGTAGTAAGTGGCAGAGGTGGGAGTCAGTCCCGTGGGCAGTCGTAGTCTCTCCCCATATCTGTGGGGTTACTCTCTGTGGTTTCAGTTACCCACGGTCATCCTCAATCTTAAGAGATTAGATGGAAGATTTCGTGGTAAACAGTTCATACGTTTTAAGTTGCACAGCATTCTGAGCAGCGTCATGAAGTGTCCTGCCCCTCTGCCCCCCGCCCCCCCGCCCGCTGGGACCTTGTCCAGTGTCTCCACACTGTACACGCTGCCTGCCCCTTAGTCACTTAGTAGGTTGTCCTCCTACCAGATTGTCTATCTCGGTAGCACCGTGCTTGTGTTCAAGGGGCCCTTAGTTTACTTAATAATGGCCCCAAAGCCATTCACATACTTTCATTACAGTATGTTACTATAGTTGTTCTGTTTTATTGTTAATCTCTTACTGTGTCTGATTTCTAAATTAAACTTCATCATAGGTGTGTATGTGTAGGAAAAAAACAGTATATTCAGGGGTGGGTACTGTCCATGGCTTCAGGCAGCCACTGGGGGTCTCGGCATGGATCCCCTGTGGATACGGGGGGACCAATGTTCTTTGTCCCCAGAGCCCTGAAAACAGCACCTAACAGCCATCACCCAGAAGCAGTGGGGGACACTGACTCCTTCGTTCCACTGACCCCAGTGGGCCAGCGCGCCCGCACACTACTGGGGACATTTGGGTTGTCTTAGTAAAGATGGGAGTCTGGCAAACGGAAGGGTAAATTTCAACCGATGAGAAGACTGTTATGTGAGGAATGGTTATGAACCCCTTATCCCTAGAGAAAATGAACACAGTTCTCAGAATATGCAGCTCTGTGATCTGGCGGTGGGGGTGGTCAGGCTCAAGCCGGTTTAACTGGGAAGGAAAGTCAGCTCAGGCCCTCCACTGGCTCCCAATGGCTGGAGGCGGGGTCTGTGACCACACCCAAGCCGTGATTTTTCCCTCCTTCAGATTATGGCCGAACGGAAGAACGCCAAAGCCCTGGCCTGCAGCTCCTTACAGGAAAGGACCCATGTGAACCTCGATGTCCCCTTACAAGGTAGGTCGCCACATCCACCGTCTTCACCGTGGCGCTCCATCCTGGTCAAGAACCAGAGGCTCTGACGTAGTTCCCTGGAACTTCTCGTCTCCTCGGACACCACCCTCCACTGGGCCGACACCCACCGAGCGTGCCCTCCGGCCCTGCTGTGGCACAGAGCTGATCTGTGTCAGTAGAATTAGGCGTAAAGGGCCTCGGCGTGGTTTGTCATTGGGCAAGACTAGAGAACACTGACTGCGCCTAGTGGTTTTCTAGCTCGTCTGCAGCCCGGGGTGAGGGACAGCTAGTTAAGCAGGTGAGTCGACATTTAGAGTGGGGGGCTCTGTTTACTTACTTTCCCTGATTGCACCCTCTGTGATTAAATAATTTCTGGGCGTAAACCACACCTGACACAAAGGACGCGAAAGCTGTTACTCAGCCCAGAGCAAAGACCCAGTAACAGCTGTAATCCCAGGTCCTGCTTTCAACTGTGTTTCTGCCTAGAAATGGCAGTTGAACGGGCCTTGGCCTGACAGGGAACGAGGCCCCCGTTCACCACCTCCAGCCCCGGGACGGTGTGGCACAGGGCGTGCGTCCAGGGGGCACGGGGTCGTGGCTGCTTCTCGCGCGCGCGGTGCAGTCCCGGAGAATGATGCGTTGCTTTTGTTCCCTGTAGTAGATTTCCCAACACCAAAGACCGAGCTGGTGCAGAAGTTCCACGTGCAGTACCTGGGCATGCTGCCCGTCGACAGACCAGTCGGTATGTGAAACCTTTGTGTCTTTCCACTTTGCAGGTGTTTGGGGACCCGTGGGAGGTGGTCACGCTCCCGGCAGGGTGGCTCCCATGTCTCACCCCTCTCTACTCACACCGTCACCAGCTAGAACACACAGGCAGCCCTGATCAAAGGAGCGATGAGGACAAGCTACGCTGCTCTGTCGTTTAACCCCCAGAACATAGGGACCTGAATAAAGCAGGCGCGCATTTCTCGTTTACCCAGCATCCCAGAGAAGCATGAGCCCCGGGCCTTGCCGTTCTCAAGTGGGGCTTCGGTCTCTGGGGCCAGGGTGCCTGCTTCCATCCTCCTCAGCTGGTGGCCGGCGGGCAGTGCTGAGGGAGCCCGCATGCTTTCCTTCCAGGCTGTGGCCCAGAAGCAGCCCCACAGCAGTCAGCTCACATCCCAGGGGCTGGCCTTGCTGAGCCGGGCCTTAGCAGGCCGCAGGGAGGCCGGACGGCACAGCCTGTACCTGGACAGGGGAGGCTGTGTAGCGGTCAGAACGGTCATGTGTTTTGGGCGTGGGGGGCCGTGCAGTGATGCAGCTGCCTTGGGGGACAGCCGAGCAGTTCCTCACATGGTCAGACACAGAGGTACCATTTGACCCAGAAGTTCTGCCCCTGGGCATGTACCCCAGTGCAATGAAAACATTCATGCACTCGGAAATGTGTATATGAATGTTTACAGCAGCATTAGCGTAATAATCAAAAAGTAGGTACAGACCAGATGTCCACCAGCTAGCAAATGGATGAGCAGAACGTGATACTGCTGTACAAAGGAGTTTTATTTGGCAAGGAAAAGGAATGAAGTACAGGCTCATGCTGCCACGAGGGGGGCCCTTGACAGCATCATGCTAAACGAAGGAAGCCAGCCACAAAGGACCATATCCTCTGTGCATCTGTTGTATGATGTGTCCAGAACAGGCAGCTCTCTAGGCAGAAATTAAGTCGGTGATTGCCCAGGGCTGCGGGGCTGGGAGGAATGGAGGGTGACTCTTAAACGGAACAGGGCTTCTTTTGGGACTGATGGAAATGTTCTAAAGTCGATTGTGGTGATGATTGCACAACCCAGTGAATATACTAAAAAACCATGAATTATACACTTGAAATGAATGGATAATATCTCAATAAAGTTGTTATCCCACTCACCCAAAAAACAGCTGTGGGAACACCCAGCGGAAGTGCCCCATTGAATAGCCCGCACAGCCTCTGTGAGGTGCCACCCACACGTGGCCTGGTTGAAGTGAGAAAGCAAAAGGGAGAGAGATTGGGGTGGTCTGCGGGTGCTGGCTTCGGCTGGGTCCCCTGTCCCAAGGCTCCGTGCTTGGGAAAACGTAGTGTGTGAGTGCCATTCACACACCCGGGGCTGGGGAAGCTCTGCAGAGAGGGAGAAAGGGGCACGTCATCCCATCAGACAGGCTGTCACCCGCTGCATCGCGAAGTCCTCGCAACCTTTCTGTTGAAATCGCTGGCGTTTTATTTTTGTAAGCAAACATGAGAAATGAAATGTCTTCTGGGGCTATAAAAAAAAGATCAGCCTGGATATAGCTATTACTGGGTGATTTGGGCCCCATCGGAGAGTGATAAATAGCTTTAGGACCTTTTCAATGATTCCTTCCATCCACTCAGGAATGGATACCCTGAACAATGCCATAGAAAGTCTAATGACCTCATCCAACAAGGAGGACTGGCCATCGGTGAACATGAACGTGGCCGATGCCACTGTGACTGTCATCAGTGAAAAGGTGAGGAGGGTCGTGGACACAGTTAGCCCGTCTGGGTCACAGTGTGGTTTTGGATGCAATAATTTTCCGGGAAATTTAGACAAGCAGCCAAGGCGTGACCTCTGGGGCGCTATGTTTGCTTAGGATTAAAATAGCCCACATTTACGCAGGAGAAGAAAGATGTAGCCCTTTGGGTCTGGAGCTCTGCATGCCTTTGCTCTCCTCTGGACTCGGGAGCTTCTGTTCTGGTGCTGCTGGTTCCTTCTTCCTCACGTGCCTAAGGGCTCGGGGGGGGGTGCTGGATGACAGTAGTGTGACTCGCCAGTGGTGTGGTTCTCTGGCCACTCACTCGCCGGGCCCCAGTATTGCCTGCGCCGTGTTTTCTGGGGTTGGGGCGCAGGAGATGCTTCTGTTATGGAAGGTCCTACAGTTTGTTTGATAGTAGCAGGGGCCACTGGTCATCTTCAGAGAGGCCAACGTTTGCCTCAACTCAAATTATCCCAGTTCCGTGGTTGAAGACACTGAGGCCCAGAGAGGTTAAGTAACTACCCAAGGTCACAGAGCTGGAAGTAGTGTGGCCAGGATTTGAATACAGGCAGTCTGGCTCCAGGCTCTTCACCGCTTCTGCCTCTGTGAAGCGCCTGGCGTGGAAAGGCCGCAAGTCCTTAGCCTGCTCTCCTGCCCACGAGCAGGTCGCCTCCAAGCCCAGGCCACCTTCTAAAGGAGAGTAAGATGCTCACCGACCCTGCCTGCCCTCCCAGCATGCTAGGCTGGGTTTTCCTCTGGCTGTCGAACATGCCACGCCCTCTCCTGCCTCGCTTTCTGCAGGTGCCACCGCAGTGCTGCGTGCCTCTGCACTACCCCGGTTTCAGCCCGAACACCACTTCTCCCGAGAAAACTGCCCAGCCTCTCAGACCAGCGTAGTTGGCCTGTTAACAGTCCCACAGCACCTGAGTGAATGCTTGATAGTCTAAGACATGAATGATCCAGAAGTTGACGTGCTGGATGTATTTACTAATCTAAAAATGGCCTATGGTTGTTACAAAGGACGCGGTGTTTATAAGGATTCAATCCAAATAGTTCTTCACACTGTGTCATATGAATACCATGTGAATACCATATGAATACCAGTTTGTAAAAAAAAAATGATTTGGCAACTTTTTGTTGTACAGGGTTTTAGATAGAAACACGATTCAGAGGGCCGTTCAGCCTGTGAAAAGAGCTGGACGGAGAGAGCCCGTGGCCCCTTTTCTCTGGGTGCTGTGGGGTTTCCAGTGGACTCACCCGGGCAAAGGGGCTTTTAGCCACTGGGTGTCCCATGTGGGCAGGACGTAAGAAGTATACGTGACTTTGTCCCACCCTCGGTGAACTTGCAGGCGTGGAGCGTAGCCGACGGGGGCGGCCCGCACACCACGGCTGCGTGTGGTTCAGAGCGAGACTAAGTGCCGTAATGAGACACCCACGGTGGTGAGGGCCTTTCCATTCACTTGTAGATACGTGCCTTTCTAGAAAAATACAAGCGCTTCCTAAATTCAGTCTGGCTATGTATATATTTTTTTAATCCTATCAGTGGCCACTTGAAGCTTGAATCTGTGGTTTAAGGTCTGAATGTGGTGCTGACGGCTGCCCGTCTCCCCAGAGAGGGAGGGCTGCTGAACTCTGTGTGTCTTGCAGAACGAAGAGGACATCCTAGTGGAGTGCCGTGTGCGGTTTCTGTCCTTCATGGGCGTCGGGAAGGACATCCACACCTTTGCCTTCATCATGGACACCGGGAACCAGCGCTTTGAGTGCCACGTCTTCTGGTGCGAGCCCAACGCCGGCAACGTGTCCGAGGCGGTGCAGGCCGCCTGCATGGTGAGTCGGCCGCCGCAGGGGCTCCTCCGACCCGCGCGCCCCTGCTGGTGCGCCACGTGCTGTGCATTAGAGCGGAGTCACGGATTTCATAGGAGAAAAGCCTGATCTTGAAAGTAGTGCTTTCCTCTCTAACACTCGTTCCTCGGGGCAGGACGAGTCCTGATACACAGTTTGCCATGCCAGCCAGTGAGGACACCTGCAGGAAGCAGGGCCAGACGGAGCCAGACCCCGCTGAGACCCCACAGTAACGTTGAATGGGACGATCTCTGAAACCACAAGTCTGAGGACGCTCAGTTTCTGATCCCTGATTGATTGATTGATTTCACGACGTGATCAGGAAATGTTGGTCCTGCGTGAGCTGGTGCTGCTGGGACCCAACTCAGTACTTCAGTGTCGTGTGGGGAAGGGGGTTTTCATTTCAGGTGGTTGATTTTTATGTGCATCGTTCTTACATATTTTATTTACTTTGTATCTACTCAGTCCTTACAACAGCCCTGTTAGGTAGCTGTTAGTTGTTTTAGTTATCAGAAAACAGAGGTTCAGAGGAAAGAGCAGGCCCCTGGACGCAGAGTTGGCGAGAGTGTACGTTCATTCCCACGTGCTCTGGGTGACGCCAGTGCTTTGGGCATCATGTGTGATTTCACACAACATGACTTTGTCACATTCACTCTGCAAATATCCTCTGAGCAGGGATGATTCTGGGCACTGAAAAAGTTCTAGTAAAAATGAGGGAATTAGGCAAACATAAGCATCCAACCTGATGCATGGTTTATTCCAGCAACAGCAGGTGGGGCAGGTGGAACCACGTGGAAGGATGCAGGTCCATATTATGGAGTGCCCGTGGTGGCACACCACGGTGTCTATCTCCTGCAAAGATTGTGAAGCAGGAAAGTGAATTGACCCTAGTAGGTTTTAAAAGTATACTCGAGAGCAAAAGAAAGTGGAAGATGGGTTGAAAGGGCAAGGCTAGGGTGGGGAGGTCAACTAGGAGGCCAGGGGACTGGTCCAGATGAGAGCCGCAGCGCATCTAACCCGGGGCAGTGGCGTGAGTACTGGAATCGGGAGCAGGTGGCCGGGAAGTCGGTGTGGAGAATTGCGTGGCTGGGGGATGGCGGGTGCCGGATTTGAAGTGCCTGTGCTTCATCCGATTCAGTCCACCGTTTATGGGCTGGACTCTGGAAGTTCAAGTAGGATTAAGAAAGGATCCTTGCATGATAGAGTTTGGGTACCTGGGGGAGTCATGTGAACAAAATTCTGGTAGTGTAGAAAGTGTTGTAACTGAAAGTGTAAAGCCGCACTGGGTGGAGAAGTGACTGGGAGGAGCGAGGGGTGGAGGCCCTGCGAGGGATCGCTCACAGAGTCCGATGGGAAAGGGGAAGGAGCTCGAGCACAGCATCCAGGGGTGTGCACATTTGCTTTGGGATGCGGGGGACTGGTGCGTTTTTTAGGCTGAGGGAGATGAACCACTAAAGCCGGATTGGAATGGAGTCTGTCTCTCTCTCTCTCTCTCTCTCTCTCTCTCTCACACACACACACACACACACACACGGTCGGGGGCAAGATCTTGGTGGTAGATTAGGAGTGGGGGTTGGAGGGCTTAGCCTGCTAATTGGGTTACAGCAGTGATTTCCAACCTTTTTCATCTCATGGCACAAATATACTAATTAATAAAATACATTTTTATTTAAAAGTACATATATATTTTATTTGTATTTTTAAATAAAATGTATCTTTTGCCTATCAGACAAAAAAAGTAGGTATGGTTTGGATTCACTTACATTTGGGAGGCTACTGCTGTGTTGACTGTTGCCATTTTTTTATTTGACAGTCTAAGGGGAAAGAGATCAGTGCCCCTGACTAAATAGTCAGGCAGTGCAGGTTTTAGAAAGTCTTGCGGCATGGCACTTGAAAATCGCTGGGTCAGAGGAACTTGGAGCCTGGGCAGAAGATGCCGTGATCCGAGAACAGGTGGAGCGGAGACAGGTTCTGTGGGTCACATACTGCACGTTGCTAGGTGAAGCGTGAGGGGACGGGAGGCGGATGGCAGGTGGCCAAGGTGGGGAACAAGAAAAGAGAGCTGGCTGACGTGTATCGTAAAAGACCCCTTTGAAAGGGAGCGAGGAGGAGGGGGGAGGGAAGGGGAGGCCTGGTGTGTGCACTGGTCGTCTGGCTTCCCTCGCACCGCCGTCCTTTGTCAGAGCGCGGTCGCCCTCGTCCTCGGGAGCCAGGGTTCTGCGTGCGAAGGAGCAGAGCGGGTGCGGAGGGAGCACGGTGAGCCTCCCGACCTGGGTGGGAGACTGAGATGGGACTCAGCGGCTGTGGGGGGAGGAGGACAGAGACTGGGAGAGTTCAGCCAAGCAGAAGTGGAGGATGACTATTTAGGTATTTCGTGAAATTGCAAATGATCGTTCATAACAGATGGCTGTAGTCATAAAATGAATGGCTTTCAGCCTTAATTATACATTTTAAATGCTGATGACAATTAAATTATTAGCTTTATCACTGGTTACAGTGCATTTTCTGATTCCCAGACCTATTCTGTATCTTAGAAGCAATATTTTACTCATTTGCTTACTATTTCAATGGTGTTAGGGCAGCTGCTGGAGTGGCTTAAGCTATCCTGTAAGAGGCGTGTTGATAAAGATGAAACCTTTCTCAACGCTCTGAAGCCAGCGATTCTCACACAGAGGCTTTCCTCTCCATTCACGTCTCGATTCACGTGTGCGGCTCTCTGTCTCAGCCACCTCTGCTCCCTGGCTGGGTGGCCCAGCTGGTTGGAACGCCATCTGTCCGCACAGAAGGAGGTGGCGGGTTCCATGCACAGTGCGGGCACACGCAGGCGGCCACTGAGCTGTGTTTCTCCCACACTGGCCTTTCTCTCTCTCTCCCCCCTCCTCCCCTAAATCGATAAAATCGTATCCTCGGGTGAGGATTTTTAAAAAATAATAAAGTATCTATGCATAAACTTGTACCATCTCAGATGTCTGTGCTGGTAACACATTGTTTTGAGTCTACTGGTTAGGCATATTTTGCAGCTGTGTGGTAGAGGCCCAGCTGAAACATTTTTGGTGAAACTTAGAGTAAGACAGGGAGGGATTCTTAGTGAAATCCATCGGGCACGGTGTCAATTCACGCTGGGTGCACCTACTTAGCACTAGGAAGGCCCAGTCCAGTGTTGCTACGACTGCCCATGTGCATCTCCGAGCTTCAGAAGCGTGTGGTCTGGCATGTGATGCAGACCTAGTGAGATCCCTTCCACAGAGGCAGCACGTGAGAAGTCGTTTTTCGTGCGGTTGGGTGGGAGGGGCGAACCGTGTGGTGGCCTGCAGCCGTGACCGAACTTGTGACCAAGAGTCTTGCCGAAGACAGTGTGTGCTGCTCAGGGGGAACCTCGGCCTGTTTTATAACTAGGCTAAGGAACTTGTTAATATTTAAGTGGATTTTTTAAAAACCAGCCACGGAAATATTTTAAAGTGCTTAGATTAGAAAAAAAAATGATAAATTTTAAATTGTTTACCTAATTTTGAAAAATTATGTCCTTGCACTAATACAAAAGTGGATTGTGTTATATTTCTGAAGGATGGAAACTGTCTGTGGTGCCAATAGTAATGGATTTTTAAAAAATTAATCCATTAAGATTTAGACTTGTATATGAAATATGTCCTGAAATCCGTTCATTAGTCATTCTTTTTTCATTAAAACAGGAGATAGGGAAGGGAATGAGCATTTATGAATGCCTTCTGCATTGCCAGGCCTATTTTAGGCTTTCTACAAGTATTCCTTAATCATAAGGGAGGTCCCCCCTTCTTCAGCCATTCTACAATTGGAGAAACTGAGGCTCAGAGGTTTAGTAACTCAGAGCCGCTCGCGTGGCTCAGAAGCCTGGGGCAGAGCCTAGGCTCACACCATGTCCTTCTGCCACGCCGGCTCTCAGTGGCCGCACGCACTTACCCCGACCTTACGTTTTTCTCTGCAGAAAAATGTAATCTCTCTCTCAATGCTTTTTCTTTTTATTTTGGAGAATTACTTATCTTTGCTTTAATATAAAAGCAGGTGTACTGTGTTGTCATATTTCAGAAGGATAAGAAACTGTTGGTGTTACCAGTACTCATGGATTTTTAAGAACTGATCCATTACGATTTAGACTTGCTCTTTGACTACGAGGTGTGTGAACTGTAGCCTCTCAGTACAGAGAACGAGTAGAGGGTGGGGGTGACTGGGAGAAAAAGATGGCAAAAGCCAAAGCACCTTTATCAAGCCTCCTGATCTTTTAAGAAAACTTAAGACACTCCACTTTAAGAAAAAAAATACTAAAATCTTGGATTCGTGTTCGGGAGCTCAGTGGTTAACTTTTGGGAGTAAATGCACTGGCGGTTAATTAAAATCACATTGAACAGAAGGGGTGGTACGTCACTCACGGCCGTAAACCGTGTTCTGTTTCGTTTCAGTTGCGATACCAGAAGTGCTTGGTAGCCAGGCCGCCTTCGCAGAAAGTGCGGCCGCCTCCTCCACCAGCGGACTCAGTGACCAGAAGAGTCACAACCAATGTAAAACGCGGGGTCCTGTCCCTCATTGACACTTTGAAACAGAAACGCCCGGTCACAGAAACACCATAGCTGCAGATGGTAGAGGATTCTGTAACACTGACCCGAAGACCGAACAGCTACACTAAAGATGAAGAACTGATGCCTGGCCTTCCATTCGGCTGCTGATGCTTTGTCTTCAGAGAACTTATCCTTAACCAAACAGTGTTAGACAAGCATGTTCTCTCGTCTTGCCACCGTCATGTGATAGGAAAAGAAGCATGACTAATTTTTTTTGCTGTCAGTAAGTTACACCATGAGCAGTGGAAGGTCTTTCTCTTATTGTAAATATCGTGAACATTACTTAACTTCACACACACAGAGAAGAATGTGGCCACACCCCTCCCCATGAACTGATGCTGAGTCCCTGGAGTGAATGACGCCTGGATCAGTTCTGTTGTCCTCCCGACTGGATCTGTCACAACAACTTTAAGTCCCACAGCACTCTGCCCCGTTTTCCGCGTTGGAGTAGACACTGTGTACTAGAAACCATTGAAATGCTGTAAAAATAGGATGATGAGTTTTCGTGTTCGTTACTCATAATGTCGAACCTTTTGGTTGACAAAGTTGGCTGTTGGCATCAGTGTGGAGGCCAGCTGGTGGCTTTCTGTGACAAGCTCTTTGACACACAGACACCGTTCCGTGTCTACTCATGTCATGTCAAACAGCTGTTTGTGGGGTATTGGAAAAAAGTGAAACTCAAAATTGAAAACAAACCAAATTTCAGAAATTAAAATCAAGCAAAAATAGCCTTTCTTTTCAGATGGTTTTCAAACTGATTAAGAGGTTAACAAAGTCATAATGCATTTTGGATGGGACATACTCAAACTTCTGCCTTATTATTGTACAATGCAGCTAGAGAATTAAAGTTCATTAGGGCCATTCTCTACATAAACCACATTAAAATGAAATATTCCTCGGAAGCCTTTTTTCCTTAGTTCAGCAATTAGCCAATATGCAATTTGCATTTGAAGAAATGTCACCTGTAGTTTAGGTCATCACCGTGATGTTTTGTTGGTCCACTTCCTAAGTACACATTCTGCTAGGATTCTGCATCTAGCTCAGTCTTACCCTAATGCTGTTTGTCCAGAAAGCTGTCTGTCCATCATGTATTTTCCATGGCAACAAATTACATTAAATTGAACCTGCTTGAATTTATGTATTTACTTTTAGAATTTGTTGGACTCCACTAGATATATTTTTAAATTTATATTTTTTTCCATTATATTTTCAAGATTAAAAAATTTCATATCAGAGCAAAATGTACATAAGAGCAATGTACTGCTTAGTAAGTTTCCCAAAACTGGAGCTTTCCTGCTCCTCCGTCTAGATATGAAACTTAGCTCCAAGGTTCAGATTTAGACCCTTGTTAACATTGTTTTCCAAGAGATTTGCTGAAGAGATCCATCTAAACTTCAGTCGTGTTTACTTTTAATGTCAAAATCAACACTTCACAATATCCAGTGATAAAAGTAACTGCTTTATGTTTATCCTCTGCTGTGTGCCTGTCAAATGGTTTTCACATTCTCACCACACTTGAGCCTTATAAGGGAGAGAAGGCACCAAACACATTGGAGAAATACAAACACGAAGCTCCCAGAGGCTCAGTCGCCTAGACTCAGGTCTCGAAAAAGTCAGGGTCCATGCTTCCTAACTCCCAGTTTTCAGTTACACCGTCTCCACGCCAGCCAGGATGTCTTTCCACAGTTCCTTGGGGCACACCCAGTTACTGTCCAGAAGTCTCAGAATTCCCTGTGCAGGCAGGGGCATACGCGGTGGTATGAGTCATACACCCCTGCTTCCTCTCAGCCCAGGACTGTTCTGCAGCATGTGTCAGACAGGTCGCCGAGGACAGTGCACCTGCAGTACACGGCCTGCTCAACCCGGGAGATCCTCCAGAGGTGATGTGCCACGTGGCAGAGGCCTTCCCGCCCTGTTCCCTCTCGGAGTCCTGGAATGTTGCTAGCACCTTAGTGTTAGGGCAGACAAGATGCCACTCTACATATAAATTACACTTCTCGCCAGCCTGTACACTTCTGTCTGAAGTAACCAGTACCATCTTAAGGAGTTACTGCATTAAGAAAGTCCTCCCCGTGCCCTTTGAAAGCTGTTTGAAATTCAGAGATGATCATCTTCCACCTTGATCCCCACACTGAAACATTTTAGTATGATAAACTTCAAAGTCCTGACAACTGATACGCTTTTATCTTGGAAATCTCTACCGGAGCCCCCTGTTCCTTTTAAGGCATATGTTTGTTCGTTTTCAGGGTCAAGAATACTGAGCTAGCTTTAAGTAGCAAACTGACTTATATATGCAATTATAGGATACATTAAGATGAATGACAGCCTCTACATATTGAAAACTTTACCGCAGATACTTTGTTTTGAAGATAGCTTTGCATACTAAATGCGATTTTGTAAAATCATTATGTTAAACAGTATGTTCAGACACTTTCTGCCATGGCCAAAAAGTATGTATGGAAGCGCGCGTGTACTCCTCCGTGAAAGGGTGCCGGCGTGGTACCTGACATTGTAGCGACACTTCGGTTATCTATGCATTCTTCCTATCTGTGATTCGGTAGACAGGCAGCCATGGTCACGATGCCTCGTGTGTCTTATCATTTTTTTAATTAACTTGTTAAATACAGCTTAAAATATTTTTATTTATTCTATTTTTACTGAAATATACTGCATTATTGTGTTAATGTATTATCTTTACTGGATATTCTCTCAGTGAACTATATACATTGCCTAAAAGGTGGTTTTGTAATGATTTGTAGTCACATTTTTATTGGAATATGTAGAAGAAAAGGCAAAATGCTTAAAGTTCCTTTTATTTTTTAAAAGCAGCCAGATAGACACAGACTCGCCACCTCATGTACGTGCTCCTTGGCAGCATCCAGGGGAATGGCCAACACGCCTACGGCTCCTGTTTTTACTTTGCGAACTAAAGCACTGCTTGGTGCTTCGTTTTTATATCTGTCCCAACGTGTGCGATCTCATCTGAAAGACAGACACGTGTCCACCTGCCCTGTGTGTCTGCCCATCGCTAACTAGAACCATTGTTTTTTGTTTGTGTCTTCCTGCATGAAGGGACATTAGACTCATTTCCATTAAAATAAGTTCTTGCTGGTAACCTGTTGGCACTGCTACTTTTTTAAAAATCCCACTCTATGATTTTATGATGGTCACTGGTAAAATTATTCTACAGAACGTCATTTAGTAAAAGCCCTAAGTCTTTCCTCCTTTTCTTGTGTGACGCTCGTTTTCATAAGCATTGCAACACAGACTCAGGAGTTCATAAGCAACTCGAAGAGCATTTCCCTCATATTCGCACAATTTAACTAGTAAAACTCTTCACACTCTGGTTTGTCAGGCTCCCCGAACACACAGCTAACAGGTGTGCTATGGAACCAGTAAAATGAAGTGTATCTGAGCTCCAGGGAGAAAGATACTGCTCACGCTTTATCCGTGAGAGTGCTCTCTGCCCGCCGGAGCAGCTCATCCTGAAGGAACATCTGGTTTTGCTTTCTGCCCATTTAGTTGTCGACCACTTCCACACATTTAAATGTAATATGTTGCGAGAATAAAATTAGCTGCATAAAGTGTTTGACTCATTTATCTGACATCTCAAGTCATATGTAAATATATATATGCAGGAATAGAAACATAAGTTTAGTGTCTTCACTCTAGTCATTTTATTTTCAAATTATCCTTACCTCAAGAATCATTTCAGTGATGCAAGATTCACCTTTGATTAGTTACTGCATATTTCCACCTGATAAGAACTAGAAAGAACCTGACATCAAAGTGAAGAATGGAGTTCTACAGGCACTATATCCCTACTCAAAGGGACCTGGGGAAACAAACCAGTTGAATGTGGTTTAGTTGAAGTGTTAGATATGTGGAAGATGATAGGTAGAAATTAAAGTATGTACCAATTCTTTGCTCACCTTGCATTTTCCCTCATAGTTTATCTCTTGTCCTCTATCAAAGGCAGTTACTCTCAAGGAACAAAATTGCATTTTTGTTTCAGGTAAATTTAGATAAAAATCTGAATTTGCTATTGGAGTATCTAAATACCAGTAATTATTATTTTAGATTTTTGCAACACCTTTCTCCAGGAAGCTCAAGAAAGCTTCCAATGCTTCCAAAGCTTCCAATGCTTCCAAGCTTGTCAATGTATCCAGTAATTCTCCTTCACTAGAATTCTCCAATATTGCTTTCAGTACTCTTCTCTTTTGACTCTACCGAAGTATCTAAATAATTGACCGTGTGCTTCTTAGAAGATTCTCAAAGAAAACTGCAGGCTTAACTAATGAATAGTTTAATTCAGAATCTCCATATACTTCTAAAGAGACAAATCATTTAGTGGCATGCATGCCAGGAGGTTCTGAATACAGACGGCTAAAGTGACGTCATGCGGATCCCACGCTGCTATAGAGATCAGACAAGTATCCTGAACTATTTCTTAACGGCGAGAGTTTTCTTCTTATAACTTACCATGAAAATCTCACACCTGCTACTCTGGGACAATGGAGTCCCTTTCAGCCTGGAGCAAGGGGACGAGGGTAGGGAAGGGATAAAAGGTCCCTGGGACAGCGTACCAGCTCTTCACTAAACAAGGTTCAGTTCAGCCACGTGGGCCTCCCGGAGGCATGGAACACTCGTAGCCAGACAGAGTGTGGGAGTAAGAGGGTGAAACACTATAGTTTTTAGAGCATAAAACAGTTTTTCATTTTCAAAATTAGTAAAATAACCTGAGCATTGAAAATATTTCTGTACATTTTAAGAATCATAATTAACGTGAGAATTTTTTTGCTATTTAAAATATGTCTGGTTCAAGTATAAAAAGTTTTGTTTCCTTTCTTCACTGACATGCACCATTTTTATCTTCACTTCAAGTGAGAAACAAAGAATAGAACATTAGAGCTGAAACAGACCTAAACATCCCTGTGGAAGGAGGTAATATTCTACCAAAATCATGGCACCTCAACTGAACATGTAGAAATTTACATAACACTGTTCAACACAACTGGATTCTGAAAACAGAACTTTAAATTCAAACTTTATGAATGTGTCTCCGAACAATAGGGTTTATAGTTGTAACTTACTCGATTTAATGTCAGTCAAGCAATTTCTTTTGCCATGATGTAGGAAAGTCAATAGACCCAGAAATGATAATCATACCAAATCTTGGTAGACAAATGATACATTCAAGATAGATTTTTAATAAAATTAACATAGTGCTATATTTTAATTGTGCATCAGAAATGAATTACCAAAATTTGATTACTGTGAGCCATTTGGAATGACATGTAGATTTCAATATTTGACCTGATCTTTGAATAGAATCAAATTTTTATGGGTTTCTTCGATGATAGGTGTCAGTTGTATTGAATAGTTTGCCTCTTACTCAGAATTATTACCGTTTAGATAGAAATTTGCTTACAGTCACTTTTTTTTATAATAGCATTGGGCATAAATAGAAGGGAGAGCTGACTATGTTCAATCTGCTCCGGGTCCTGGAAGCTCTTCCGTTGGAAGCAGTTTCCACTCTGTGAATGGACATGTGAACTACCACACCTGGGACTCTGGAGCTTCCTGTTCTTCCTACTCATACTCAACCTCAATCACATTACAAAACTCATAGCATCCCTTGCTTAAAGAATATTTTTATATTAAGAAACACATGAACCTTGATATTGACTGAAAATGTTCAAAAGTGGTGGCCTAAATCCACATTGAAAGTTAACAAGAGTGAGACTAGTTTTAACAGCTGAAACTGAGTGTACAGGTGAGCATTCTAGAACAGATCAGCACTGAGCTGTTGAAATCTGAATTTTGCTTTACTTAACCACCTACATTACTGTTTCTCATTTGTCTTAATTCTCTTAAAGGTATTAAGTGACTGAAAGGATCAGTATTTTGTGTAGGAATGTCTAACCTTCAAAGAAATATCAGACTTTGAAAAAAATCAACTGCTCCTGACCCCTGTTTAAAAAAAAAAAAACAAACACATACCCAAGACCGTCAAAGCCATGGTCGACGTCTGAGTAGGGAGGAAGGTGAGTTTTTAGGTTTTTCCCCTTTTCTGGTTAGCGATGTGGCGGGAAGGTAACCAGACATAACAGGCTTGGGTCCAGCCCAGCGATAGTAAAATCGTGGAGCTAGTGCCTGAGGTCTGATCCCTTGAGGGACTGCATATGGAAACGACACTGGAGGCAAAACAATCTCCACAGGTTTCAGCACAACCATCCTGTCTTCTGGGCGAGGTCTCACGAAGTTGGAGCGCCGTTCATAGGATCTGGAGGGAGGCGCGTTCTTCGCGAAGGCGGGCGCTAAGGGGCTGGTGGCAGGCTTGGGTTTTCTGACCTGTGAGGAAGAACCCACTTGAGTTGTACTTTTCTGTGCGAGAGGTGTTTTCGTTGTCGATGTCTCTGACCGATTAATATTTGCATTAGCTTCTCGATTCAGGAACGCAGCAATTTTCAATTGAATGCTGTTAGTATTAGTAGCGGAAGCTTTTGGCAATGTTGTTTTTGACTTTTTCTTCTTCTCCCGTTTTGAAGGTTTACCCAACTCAATCCCGTCCAGTAGACCCTTTGCTGCAGCGCGGGCCAAAACGTCTTTCACAGACACTGTCTCAGATGGGTCCCGCTACAATAAAGAAGCAATTGCTAAATGTGGGCGTTAACTTAATGTGTATGTTACAAATATTTATCAGTATTCCAGAAGAAGCAAAAGAGTATATTATTCCAAAAAAAAAAAATTTTAGGCCTTAGTCCTAATATATCCCATAAGCCTTGGCAAATGACTTTTTTGTACTTAAACTTCCCGATTTATGAACCTGACAGGAGGAAAGGAGAGAATTACAGAGCTCATTTCTTGTATGTGATATATATAAGAACAACTAGACATGACGACGTGCTTGGAGAAGTGGGGATCAGGCAAACGAAGAACACTCAGTAGAAGTATAAAGATAAAAACAGGAATTTCTCTCTCTCTTTTTTAGGGGGCCACACAGTAATAATTCTTATTCCTGACTTTAGCTATTTATAAAACAAGCACACTACTACAAAATGCCTATGAAGTTCCTGAGAATTTGTTGTTTCTTAATTACAAGATATGACATGCATTGGGATTTTTCTCCTTACCTCCCTTGTTAGAACAGAAAGGAAACAACCATTGGTGATTTCAGACGGTTCCATTCTGAAAAACTTGTCAGCTGACAACTGTATGTCCTTTAAGGAGCACAGCGGGAGGACAGGAGGGCTGAGCCTGCAGTAGACACGAGCGAACAGTTCACAGTCAGAGAGCTGACTTGCCAATGGCGGGAGACAGTAAATTGCAACAAATTTTCTTCTATTATGTTTTACCAGTCACATCAACACAAATTCCAAATTAGGGTAAAATCCTGAAGCTGTACAATACTATTGTAACTTAAAAACTCTAATGATTCATGTTAACTTGTCATTTATTCTACTTCCCAATTCTCCATTTTAAAAAACTATGCCAAAAGCCCTGGCTGGTGTAGCTCAGTGGATTGAGCACGGGCTGGGAACCAAAGTGTCCCAGGTTCGATTCCCAGCCAGGGTACATTCCTGGGTTGCAGGCCTTGACCCCCAGCAACTGCACATTGATGTTTCTCTCTCTCTCTCCCCCCGCCTCCCCCTTCCTTCCCTCCCTAAAAATAAATAAATAAAATCTTTAAAAAAAAAAACTATGCCAAGAGTACCAACCTTTCAGCAAATTTAAAACTCTTACCTAAGTCACCAATATGTTAACAAAAGGCTCCCATAACCAATATAGGTCACTGTGTGTAGTAATCACAGAAGTGCAATCCAAAGTGCCCTGTACCTCCGCATGTTGTCAAACTACAAAAGGTTTGACTGACTTCCTTCTTTTAGTTACTTTTTGCACAATTAGAACATACAAATTTGGCTTAGCATTTTTAACTACATTCTTCCCAGTAACTTTTTGAGTATTAATGGATGAATTATGTAGCATTCAGGAAAGTACATAATGAAGACTCTGTGTCAGAAATATAAAACTCTCGTCCTGGCTGGTGTGGTTCAGTGAATTGAGTGTCGACCTGCAAACTGAAGAGTCCCGGGTTGGATTCCTAGTCAGGGCACACGCCTAGGTTGCAGACCAGGTCAGGTCCCCAGTAGGGGGCGCACATCAAGTATTTCTGTGTGTCTGGGGCATAAAGTGAGTAAGGAGATGGAAAGGTCACTTCAAATGTGGGCAAACACACATGACCTCAAGTGACACGCCAAAGCATCTGGAAAATGGTGGAGATTTAATACGTGTTTATGCTGAACTGAGCTGAAATATAGTAACTGCTGCATAGGTTGTAAAGGCAAGAGAGTTAGTTGCTCCTCTCACCAACCTTGTAACCAACATTTGAATTTCTGAGGCCTATTCTTATATATTCTCTACACAAATAGAAATAATTTAAAATTTTTTACTTATATATTAGTAAAGAATACTCTGAAGATAATTGTTTCTTACCAATTTGGAATATAGCTCCACAATGTAAATATGAAAGCAGGGATTTGTCCGTTTTAATTCACCGATATATTCCTAGCACCTAGAAGGGTATCTAGTACATAGTAGGTATTCAATAAATATTTATTTGATAGACTATGATACATTTTCACTACACATATGCTCTTTTTAAAATATTTTATTTATTTATTTTATTTATTTATTTTTAGAGAGAGGGAATGGAGGGAGAAAGAGGGAGAGAAGCATCAACATGTGGTTGCTTCTCATGCACCCCCAACTGGGGACCTGGCCCACAACCCAGGCATGTGCCCTGACTGGGAATTGAACTGGCGATGCTTTGGTTCACAGGCTGGCACTCAATCCACTGAGCCATGCCAGCCAGGGCCATATATGCTTTCTTTTAATGGTAGTAATAATCCATAATTAAGATTGGTCAAGTTATCTTACAGAACCTGCCCCTACATAACAAAATGATTTCCACACCACAGTTTATAGCCCATTTCTTTAAATAGGAAAAGAAGTTCATACCCAGAGTCTCACACCTGACTTCAATGATGACATTTGGTAATTTTTTGAGTTGATAATATTAGGACATTGCATAATTTAATTTAAATGAGACGTCTTGAATAGACAGGTTCATAGAGACAGAAAGTAGATTAGTGGTTGACAAGAGCTAGGGGAACAGGGAAATGGGAAGTGACTCTTTATTGGGTACTAAGTTTCTGTTTGGTGGGGTGATGAAAATGTTCTGGAATTAGTGCTGATGGCTGCACAACTTTCTGAATACTCTAAAAAGCCCTGAATTGTACACTTTGATGAATTATAGTTTGTGGATTGCATTTCAATTTTTTAAAGTTATTAAAACAGCACAGAGACAGACAACAGCATGGTGATTACCAGAGGGAAAGGGGAGGTTGGGAGCAGGCAGGAGAGGGTACAGGGGGATGAATGGTGTTGGACGGCGACTTGACTTGGGGTGGTGAACACACAATACAGTGTACGGATGAGGTATTAGGGGGTTGTATAATTTTATTAACCAAGGTTATCCAAATAAATTCAATAAAATATTAAATTAGGAAGAGTTCCATATATTTAGTGTATATATTATCTGTAACAATATGTAAAGGCACACCTCGTTTTATTGTGCCCCACAGATGTTGCATTATCTACAAATTGAAAGCAACACCCTTCACCAGTGAAAAGATTTCGACTCGCTTTATTGCGGTGCTCTGGAACCGAATCCGCAGTATCTCTGAGGTATGCCTGCACACACACCCATGGGGCTGGCATTCGACTGGTCCACACTGGCACGGCTGTACCAGCAATAAAAATATCGTTACTCTGGTGCCCTCTAGTGGCCCCTGCTCTCCTCGTGCCCCCTCCAGACCTTCACAGAAGAGAAAGGAGCAAAGGGTTACACCTGCTCATAAAGGGACCGTCAGGACCCTGTTCCAGCTGCTGGACATTTTGGGATTTGGAGGTGGAGAGATATAGGAAGAAGATTATTAACCTCATTATGCAGCTTTGGGTTGTTTTATTAGATACACAAATATAGGTAGGGGTTTTGGCAATTTAGGAAAATAAAATTTGAGAAGAAAACCATTTAAAATTATAATTAAAACATTGTTATATTATTATAGAAATAGCCAAACATCAACCGAGTGGGATAGAATTACAGACTCACATAACTATAATACAGATGGGATTATAACATATAATAACAGTGACATTTTAAATCAGTGGAGGGAAGGAGTGAAGGGTTGGTGGGGGAGGGGGAATAAAGCATGATTCATACTTTACTTCTTTACCAAAATAAACAGCAGATAGATCAATTATTTAAATATAAAAATATGAAAGGAAAACTTGTAAAAAATATATAAACTGAGGATCAGTATAACACAAGCCATAAGGAAAAAACTGATGCAACTGTCTACACAGAAATTTGAGATTTCTATATAAAGCAATTTTTAATTGAAATTTTTATTTAAAAATACCTGTGGTTCATATGAAAACAGCTAATATCCCTAATATACAATGACAAGACATAGAAAAAGAGGCACGGCACCGCTGAGAAAGTGTGAAGAACACAAACAGGCTACATTCATTGAACAGTTGTTATGTGCCAGGCACTGTTCAGGCGGTGAGACATTCATTCAGTCCCTCAAAGACCCAGTGAGGTGGGTATGGTCCAGAGGCCATGGCCACCTTTCCTCCCTGTCCTTTCACAACACCCTCTCCTGCTGCATGAAAAGAGGCACCTACCTCGTCACAGCACATTGTCCTGGGTGGTAATATCCCCAGAACACTTCAGCTCAAGAGTGTGGCTCTCTTCTCCAAAGTCAAAGCAGAGTTTAGGTAAGAAATCTTTAAGAGGATACTAAACACCGAAAAAGCTCTGTTCTTGAACTTCCTTCCTTCTGCCCTCCCTCTCTCCCTTTCTTCCTCCCCTCTGCCCACCTCCTCTTTTCTACATATCTACCTTAGATGAAACTTAGAAGTAACTCGTGGGGGCATATTAACATGTCTATTTGAATTTTAAAAACTCACACTTTTTCTGACAGGGTCAATCTGGTTTATACAATAAGAACTAGGTTTGTAAAATAGGTAACAAATTCATCATTTTTCCATAAATTGAATAAGATAAATTTGCAGATACAAAGATTTAACAAATATATTTAAATCACATGTGTAACATAACATTGCAAAAATAATATATTTAACAACTATTTAAACTTATGATGAATATTAGATATCAACTTTAAAACATAGAAAAAGTTAGTTATTTTAAAATGTGTGGGGAGTATTTGAAAAGTTGTTTTTTCAAACGTTACAAAAGTGTTTGAGGTCTACTGCTCTAGCACCCTCACTCTTATCTGCCCCGCAGTACACCGCCCGGCCAGGAAGCGGCAACTGTGCCCAGACTCGCTGACAGAGAAGTGAAAGTTTAATCACAGTGAGATCTCATCCTTTCGTGCCTCAGACTGGTGAGGATTTAAAGTCTGATAAAACCTAGCATTTGTGAAGCTGTGGGGAAATAAGTTTATAAAAGCATATATTTTGGTGGGAAGTTTGACAAAACCAATGAAAATGTAAAGTGTGCACAACCTCAAACTGTTAAGAATGGTTAAGTAGAATTTGGAAAAACTTATTCTTTTTAAGTTAGTATTTCTGTAATGAAATAAAACCGAAGTTTTTACAATAGGGGCAAGCAAAAACAGTTACACTGATAAAGTATGATGATGCCCAAGTCCAAAATGAGGTGACTTTCTGGGATATTAAAAGTTAACCACAGGTGATTAGATTAGACGGTATATAATACTGCTTTCAACTCTAAAGTCTACTACTTTGGGAATTAAGAAATAATTTTTAGAAGCTATATAGTGTACTTCCCTAAGCAAGTTTTTTGATAGTATCCCCAACAAGTAATTATAAACCTCTTGAATATATACTTTTTAATTTCAGCCCAAATCCCAGATTATTCTGTCTTTATAAAGTGTACTTAAATATCATTTGTGTATTTTACATCATATTATAGATTAATAATTGCTTACCTAAAGTAAAACCTAGTGAAATAAAATGCAGATGTTCCTCCATTTTTGCCATATTATATTCTTAGGAACCTTATTCCTGCCAAATGAAGAACCATCCGCGCTGATGAATTTGATTATATACCTGCAATAGTTATCTTTGCCACTAGATGGTAATTTAGCTAACGCTATGTTGAGAATCACTCAGAACATAAGGTTGAATGTTAGCCACCAACAGGAGTTACTAAATACGGAAGTAAAACAAGAAGGGAAATACAGATGTGATTAACATGTCCACTTGGGAATGGGCAAAGGAAAAATATCCAGTTAAAAGAAGGAAGTCAACATATGTATATTAAGAACCTCCTACAAGAATTAAAGGAAAAGTTCGAAACCTGAGCAATAAGTAAATAAGTAAACGGTTTTAAATGCCTTATTGATTGTCACAGTCTTGAAGAACTAACCGGTGTCACGGATTCTTGGATCTACTCCTCCTCCCGATGTCCGCAGTTCAGCTGCGGTATCACTGGCTTCCTTCCCTCTGCCTAGTGCACTGCAGCCTCTCACCCAGAAGCTGCTGTAGTTACTGAGGCCACTTTCCCCTTAGTCCTTGTGGGGGCCAAAGGCTACAAGGAATGCATGTTTTCAGATTACAAACACCCAATTTTCTCTCTAGTTTCTTGGGTTATTTTATATACTTATTTTTCTTCTACTGAGGCATGGATGTATCTAATCACAGGATATAACGTTTAGAGTCAGTTTTTCCAGAAACCAGTCAAGTCAAGCCGTAATGGCTTTTGCTTTTTAACAATAACAACAGGAGTCTAGTATACACAAGAATGCTCATAGCAAGCCACTGTAAAGAGTTTTAAGAAGATGGGCTATTTGGGAATATTCAAGTCTAACAAAAAGGAAATGGAATGTCTTCATAAAACTTAGAAAATCATGTTTTCACTTTCAAAAATATTTGGTTGAGTTGTTGAGAAGAATCCTGCCCTTTCTTACCTATAAGGTTGTACTTTAGTCCCAAGGTCTTGAAGTTCCAGTGCCTTCTTAACGACGGCTTCGTTCTCTTCCGGGTAAACTGAACACGTGCAGTAAACGACTGCTTGAGCTTTAGCAACTATAGTCAAAGAAGATGTAATTAACATAATGCCCCATTAACAGTTTTACAAAAATGTGCTGTTTCCAAGTGTCTGTACGACACTGCATGTCTTTGCAGGCAATGATTCCCTCAGATGTTCTCAGGGCTGCCCTCCACAGCACATACCCGCTGTGTAGTCTGCGGCCAGTAAGTAAAGTGACTCTAACTGGACTGTGTGGAAATTGAATCAATGTGAACAACCTAGTTCCAAACAAAAAGAGTAAATACTGCAGGTTATCAAGAGCTATTACTTCCAGCCATTCTCCCGCAAGCCATATCACATAACTAGTTAAAAAGACTCGAGAAACAGACATAGATGTGAATCTCAGTTGTTACTTACTGCTGTATGCACCTGGGAAAATGACTTAAACTCTCAGATTTTTTTGTCTTTAAAATGAGCTAATGCTACTACCTGCAACTCATTCATTTACATTTATCAAGCACCTACTATGTGGTAGGCACTATTCTAGCCATTTGAGATACACAGACAAAAATCCCTGTTACTAGGGAGCTTACTTTCTATGTTTTATTGACATGATAAGACACAGATAAATAGGAAAATTATATAGTGTTGTTAGGAGTTGATAAATGCTATAAAATAAAGCAAAGCAGGAATGGAGGATGTCTAGTTTCAAAAGATGATACTGTAATTTTAAAGAGTTGTCAGAGAAAGCATTGAAAAAGTTATTTACCAACTTGCTAATCTTCCAACCAACTTACTTCATATATCATATACAAAATTATCAGGTTTAAGTTAATGTTTGTTAGTGGCATCAAAAAGGTGGACCTTTTCTTTGCTTTACATTTTGCTTTATATCTACCTCATGTATGCTTTATCTTTATGTACTAAATTATCAATACCCTATGAAATGGAGGGTCCTTATAACTTGGATTAAATGTAGTTTTAAATCCTGGTTCTAGAAATCATATCCTTCTTGCTGCACATACACGCCTTAGAGACCTAGGCTTTCCCCTGGAGAGCCAGCAGCCGGGTCCTGACTGACCGGCACACAGTTGGACCTCTGGCAGGCTAGACATAATTTCTTGGCCTAAGTTATGTTGCAGCTCCTGAACCGTAGGGTAGAAGGGCCCCCTACTTTCCCATGAAATCAGACACAGGACACCGAAAAGACCTCAGTTGTCCTCAAGGCCTGAAGAAATTATTCTCTACCCTTACATCACCTCCAATCAGCCAGCTCCCAACATGACCTGAAACCCAAAGGGTCTGGAGATTTTGCCCCTTATGTCACCTGTACATCATCAAGGAATTTGGGCTGTTGAGCATTAGCTTCCTATCCTCCCAGGTGGGGCCATTTATGAGTAAAGTAGCCAATATTTCTCCACTGCAGTTCTCGGTGTCTAGTGTTTGGCTCTGTTTGTGCCAGGTGAGCGAACTCTTTCTGTTCTTAATACCTATACTTACCTTGGAGCCTTTTTTTTTAAAAGATTTTATTTATTTATTTTTAGAGAGGGAAGGGACGGAGAAAGAGAGAGAGAAACGTCAATGTGCAGTTGCTGGGAGCCATGGCCTGCAACCCAGGCATGTGCCCTGACTGGGAATCGAACCTGTGATGCTTTGGTTCGCAGCCCACGCTCAATCCACTGAGCTACGCCAGCCAGGGCTGCCTTTGAGCCTTTGAAGGTCAGGATTTGTTCACACTTATATGCCAACAGTTAGCTTAATGCCTGACTTGGAGTAGGCATTTGACAAACATGTGCTTAATTAATAAAAATGTATATCATTTCTCAGAGACTTTTAGATTTCCACATCCATGTATACTCAGAATCTAAATGGGACTCAAATCTAAATGCAGTGATTGAAGCAACAGTATAAATAAATACCTAGAGAGCCTTGTTACGCAGACTTGCATCTCTCTATTCTCTATCTAGCTCTAAGAGAAATGAGAGTTGGAGAGTTGGGAGGGGCAGGCACTGTGACGACAGACAAATCACATCCAGTAGGCCCAAGAAAAGAGATAGAGAAGGTGACACTGTACAACAATGGATGTCATAATTATTTCACTTCAGCATTAAGAAACTGTTAATCATGCCTGCTGACCTCTGTTAAAAATGATAATAAAGGATTATATTTTTTAAAGGACTTAAATTGGTGAAAAGAAATATTCTGTTACTTGAAGGTACTAAGACTGAGTGTTCTAGGAAATTCACTTCTAGTTCATACCTCATTGCCTGCCTATAATAGAGAAATAATATATTAATGTTTCTAAGATTTACAACACATTTTAAGATTGAACTTACATTTCATTGCATGTGTTAGCTGTTTATATTGCTGTTGGGCAAGAACATTAAGTTTATCTTCTGATGTGCCTCCTTGAGAGAAATCTTTAAGTAAATCTGTATCTAAAAGCAAATAAATACCTTAAATTATATCACCATTAGATGTTTTCCATAATTGCTATTATCACATTATTAAACATTTTGATCATTTTCCCTATTAATAGTTTTCATGGAAAATATCAAAACTAAAAAGATAGTATTACAAAAGTGTATGCTATCATAGAAATGTGCACTTTGAAAACTTTTGATCCTGTTAACCAATATTATCCCAATAAATGTAATTACAAATAAATATAAATAAAAACACTTTAGCAATTTAAAAATGACAAATATTTTTTGCTGACTTAAATATTAAAAACTAAATTGACAAAGGTAATTTTGTTTAATATTTCTTTTTTCTCCAAGCTCTTATGAGATACTCCTTGAACTAGCCAAGTAAGTTATTTAGGTACAGAAAAAAGAATGCAATCAGTCTCAAGACTGAGTATGAAAGAACTCAGAAGAATACAACTTTAAAAATAAAGTTACCAAAAGAAATTTTGGAAGAAAATATTAAGAGTAGCAAATGTATGTCTTCATAATAGATCAAGAAACTCTAGCAGTAACACTTTAATTTCTGAAACTGTTTTTTACATATTTCTTGATATTGTTAACAAAGACCTATTGAATGTTACTTTATAGAGATTATTTTATTCAAAAACCCTCCTAACATTGAGAAAACTGTTTAAACATACATGAAACGATTTGTCTAAGGTCACGAAGGTACTAGTGTAAGGTCACACAGCTGCTAGTGTAGAGCCGAAATGGTGGCTACAAAATCGGACCACAGAGCCCACATTTCAAACCTCTGTGTTACTCTCCTCTCAGTAACTCCCCTAGACTGTACGAGCCAATTGTTTTCACCACATACTTGACTCTTCCCCATTCTAGGAAGATCACTGAAGGTTAATTAAACTCCATTTCTTTTCAATTGTTTTTTTTACACTTCACATTCTTCTATCTCTATTTGTAAAATTACCTATCCCTTTTTCAAGGGACTATTTATCCATTATTATACTCTTAAACCATATCAGTTACTTTTTCCATTCCATTTAAAAATAATTCTAAGTTGTTAGCAATGACCAACTTCATATATTCTTCAATGGCTCTAATAGTTTTCAATGTTATACTGTGTTTTAAAATGAATTCATGATTGTTCTCTTCCACCTAGCATCCAAGTCTGGTAAAATAATCCTTAGGATGCATCCCCTAAATGGACGGCTACTGTTCCGACCGCACTCCTTAGGCCAGCAGCTCCTACTTGCTCTGCCTGCTGTTCTCTCCGAGTGCAGCCTACTGTAAAAGCTCTCACTTATTCCAGGTTTCCCAAAGACCCCTCGTTGGCTTATACTGTTACTTCAAAACATTACCAATCCCTGGAAAACTTTTTACTTCCTTCCTTTCCCATCATTTGTAGATTCCTTTGGGCTGTTCTCCCAGCTTCTAGTTTATTTTTACCCACGGCTTATTCAGTTCTGCTTCCCACTTCAACATGGCCCCGGGTAAGGCATACAGCTCTGTTCCTTCGCATCTCTCAGTGTCTACTAATTCGTCCTTGGTCATTTCCCAAGTTAGTATAAGAATGTTCTCAGCCTACTATGCTCCCATCTCAGTTGGTTCTTCTTCTGTTTAACTTGCACTGGAAAGACATTTTCTATACCGGGTCATAATTCCACATGGTACAGTGGAAGTCCAGGTAGATGGTAGTTTAAAGTAAAGGTGCTGAGTTTAAATCCCAGGTTCCCTCCTTGCTAGCTACATGACCTTAGGCAACTTGCTAAGTTTCTCTGAGTCTCGGGTTTTTCCCATTTGTAAAACAGAGATAATAAAATAACACTACCCTCAAAAAGTTACTGCGAGTATGAAGTGATAGTGCATGAGCACTACCTACAATATTGACTGGGACACTGTTTAACTCAATCAATGTTAGTTTCTCTCCCGTCATTTCTTTTTCTCCGTTTTTAATTGTCCTTGCTAGAAAGAGAAAGCTGTTACTCACCATGTTCTGAGTATTTGTGGAATGTCTTCTTTGTCTGATATTCTAGTTAACTTTATCTATGCCTTTCCATATAAACAAGGGAATAGAGTGAGAGTCAGCTTCAGTCAATGTGGGGCAATGTACTGTGATTAAGAGTGATTCCAAGTGCCAGCCTTGGGGTCGAAAAGGTTGTATTTGAATCCGACTGACACTTAACCAGTCAAGTGACTCAGGGGACTTCAAACTCAAAGCCTCAGATTCTGTATTTGTAAGATGGAGACAATAAGAGTAACAACTCCTTTGAGTTCTTGTGAGGATTGATGAAGCAATCAAGTAAGGTGCTCAGCTCAGTGTCTTACATGTAAGTGTCCAATAAATGTTCATGTTAAATCATATTTTGAAATTTACTGAAGAATCAAATAAAATACTCCTAGAATTAATATTTAATCTGAAGTTTTCATATCATAAAACATACATGTTAAGGAAACCTTGCGTTTGAAATAGTCTGATTACGATTTAATTAGGATTGTGTTCAGACTGTAGGTTCTAGAATCAGGCAGCTCTAAATCTGAATCCCAGCTTGCTGCTAACCAGATGTGTGACCTTATAAAAATGAATGAATCTTTCTGAGTCTCAGCTTTTTCATCTATAAAGTGTTGATAAATTGTAATGTCCATAACTTGGGCTCTGGACTATGCCAGAATAGCACCCTGGCCAGCAACCGTTCTGATTGCCTACATGATTCCGATTATTAAATATTTCAAATATCACCCTTGCTCATATTTCACAGGATTGGCTTAAGGATTAAATGAGGTAATAAATATAAAGTACTTTATACATAGTATACATGGGAGCTATTCATTACTCAGATATAATGATATGTCATTTTAATGGTTTTAAATACTTTTGTTTTTAAGTTATCAATACATTTCAATAATTTAGAATTTAAAAGTCAAGACAAGTACCTTCATGCTCATTTAAAATAAATTCTACGGGATTACTAATACCGAGCCCTGAGCAACGGGGGAGCAGCAGGATCACTTTAACTTTCTGCAACCTGTTATCTTTAGATTCAATGTTAAGAAATGTCTCAGGAAGTATTTCAATATCTAGGAGGAAAAAATACAGAAAAAATCATGTAAACTATTAATTAAAAGTTCTAATGCAGTATATAAATATGCCTATTTATCATTGTTCATTTTTAAATGCTTGTCATCACAAAAAAAATCATTTTAATGTATACTCAGAAAAGACAATATACTTCTCTGATAACCTCCCAAAGTTAATACATGAATTCTTAGTGTTTTCTCTTCACTTGAGTAATTTTGAAGTTTAAATATCTTCTACATAAAATACAATTAAGTTTTCCATTCCACGTAAAGCAGTGTGCTCTAGTGGAGGGAGATAGCTTTGGAGGCAGAAATACCCAAATCTGACTCCCAGCTCCACTATTTACTAGCTGTGTGGCTTCACCTCTTGAAGCCCCCATTTCCTTATTCATAAATGGGAAAATAATGCCTGCTTCGTCTAACTGTGGTGAAGACGGAGAAAAAGCAGTTAAGCTTAGCATGGTAAGCTAAGCTCAGTAATGGTTAGTTCCTTGTCCCATTTTTTAAATCTTTTTATATTCCATCTTCCCAGAAAAAAAAGAAACAGGTATCGGTAGTATTTATGAGGCACAAAGTAAGGTCTCTTAGGGACCTTGAAATTTAGTCGGGGAGTCTGCTTGCCTTCAGGTTACCCCCCTCTGTGCCCCTGTCTCAAGGCCACCCCTCCACTCCTGCAATGGTTCACATTTCCCTCACCTGCCGTGGAGTCACTCCTGAAATTACCCTACCCACCCCTTCCTCTGGCCCGATCAATTTTTCCCTTTTCTTATTCTCTTTTGAAATGATTTTTAATCCAATGGGACTTTTTGTTTTTTCCCATTTGAACTTTTTATTGGGGAAGTTCAAACACATAACAAGACAGCCATACTATGTAATGAATCGCAAGTACTCATCATGGGGCTGCAACAGTGCACCGTTCGTGCCCAATCTCCCTTTATCTGCATCTGCACCTACTCCCGTAAACATTGTGAATCTAGAACTATTTTACCATAGATCTCTACAGATAAGAACTCTTTAAAAAACAACCATAAAAATGTTCAAATCATTCCTAATTATCATCAAATAATAATCGCATCCAATAGTGGCTCAAATTTCCCCACAGTCACACATCAAAAATGTTTTTTAGTTTATTTGAATTGATGTCTTATTTTACATTTACTTTTATCTAAAGGTTCCCTTTTCATTTTTCTTACCATTTATTTCTTAATGAAACTTGATTAATTGTACTACTAGAGTTTCCCACAGTCTGGATTTTGCTAATTGCTTCCCTAGAGTGTAGTTTTACATGTTCCTGTATTTTGTGCTTCCCATTAAATTAGTAGTCAGAGCTACTGCTATTACTGATTCCCTTTTTTCTTTTCTTTACTTCTTTTGTGGTGGAGGGAACTACTTCAAAAATGGTGCCATATTATCTTATCCAGTAAGTTGCCTTTGTAGTATCAGCAAAGGGATTACAAAATAGTCATATGGTGGTTCCCCCTTACCCATGGTATTGCTTTCCATGGTTTTGGTTACCTGTGGTTAACCATGGTCTGAAAATATTAAATTTTCCCAATCATCTACTTTAGCTGCTTGTGACATCCAACCATTGACATCGTCATGGCTTGATAACTCAGGACCACACAAATCAGATGATCCTTTCTGACATGGCCGGAAGAGCAATAGTAATACTGTGTCACGATGCTGCATCATTCACCTCACTTTATTTCATCATCGTACATCTCATCTCAAGAAGAAGGGTGAGTGCTAAACAATTCGGTATTTTGAGAGAGGAAGACCACATCCATATAACTTTATTACAGTATGTTGTCATAACTGATTTATTAGTTACTGTTGTTTGTCTCTTACTGTGCCTAGTTTATAAGTTAAACTTCATCACAGGTATGAATGTATAGGAAAAACACACTATATATAGGATTCAGTATTATGTGTGGTTTGAGGCACCCACTGTGTCCACTGCTAAAAAGGGACTACTGTATTCTATCACCGCTTTTTCATCCATTATCTGGAATACTTCTAAAAGGAGAAATCTCTTTCTCTCTTTGCTTGGTTACTCAGTAGTTCCTACTCTCCCTTGTTAACTAGGTCAAAGGTGGTCAACTACTTGAGAACTAATGTTCTCAAGGAGCCACTACCTACCATGGCTGAGAAAAATGTGAACAAGGGACTTAGCAAGTCAGAGGAGGGGAGTGGGCGGGGGGCTGCAAGGCTGAGAGTCAGGTATCTGAGAAGGGGACAAGGCTAACTCTGCTGGGACCTCTGCATGACCACCACGAGGATAAATGAACACTGGAAGAGGAAGGAAAGTCCTTTCTTCTTCCCCTTAGAGTCTTGCAATGTCTCTCCAGCACCTGCCAATGGCATAAACTAATACTCCAGCTGGCAATGGAGAAATGGCGTACACCTCCAGTATCACAAAGCAGGGCAATGCGTGGGTTTGGAGCTGAGAAGCAATAAAGCAATACCTGCTCAGCTTCTGAACTCATTTCCTTCTTGACTCTTATACCATTTCTCCAGTGTACACTTTGCTGGATCTCTCTTATTCAACTTCCTGACATCTCTAAGTATTAGAGGGTATACACTCAACCTCAGTGACTAGTTTTCCAAAATAGTTGTACAAATTTACAGCCCCACCAGTGCTTGAGTACTCCCAAAAATCATGAAGTCTTTTTATTTTAATGATTTTGTGGATGTGTGGTGGTAGGTCGTGATTTCAATTGCATTGCCCTCATGACTAATGAGGTGGCATATTTTTACCTTTTTTTTTGGCACTTCGATGTCCTCTTTTGGGAGATGCCTAGTCAAGGCATTTGACTAGGTTATGTTTCCCGACTGGGTTGTCTGCCTGTCTTTTTTTTTTTTTTTTTTAAGAATTCCTTATATACTGTGGATAAAAACTCTTCATCAGTTGATATGTTCCCTCTCTACGATTTACCTTTGCTTTTCCTTAATGCAGTGTTGTTTTCTTTTTAATTTATTATAGTCCAACTTATCAATCTTTACTTTTATAGTTAGTGCTTTACATACTCTGTCTAAGAAATCTTCACCAACCCCAGGTCATAAAGTGTTTCTCCTTTAATAAATTCTAGGGGATTTTGGATTTGTGTACATGGTGTGAAATAATGGTCAGTTTCATTTTTTTTTTCAGCATTATTTACTGAAAAGACCATCTCTTCCTTCATACACTGCAGTGTTCACTTTATGATTTTTGCTGCATATATATCATGAATAAATGTTAAGTTGTATCAGATTTCTATTCTGTATCTATTAAGGTGATATGATTTTTCTCCATTAATATAGTGATTATATAAATTGATTTTTAAGAGTTAAAACAACTTTATATTCCTAGAACAAGCCCAGCTTACTTATATTATTATTCTTTTATATCACCAAATTAAGTTTACTAATATCCTATTTACAATATTTCAGATCCCTAGTATGCATTTTTTACGGCCTTGCTCATGAGTGACACTGGTCTGTAAATTTTCCCTCCTTTCATGTCCGTTTCCAGCTTTGATATCCAGGTTATAAACCCGACTGTGGAGGGTGGCGTGTTCTCCCTCTCAGGGGCATCTTTTCTGTGCCCCTCTGCTTGCCCCCAGGGTATTTACCCTGGCCCTTCTCTCCCCTAAGCTCCGAGGCCCCTTCTTTTGCTTCTGCCCCTTGTTTCCTGAGCCCACTTCTCCTGCAGCTCGCTTCTCCCACCTCTGTGACTTTCTAAATAAACTTTCTCTTATAGTTTGAAAAAATAAACTGGGAAGTAGTCCCTTTTTAGCTATTCTCTGAAAGAGTATTATTTCTTCCTGTAGGAATGTAGGGGTTTTTTCTTTGCAAATAGGGGAGATTTTCAATTGTGAATTCAAAAGGCATTAATATCCACTAATTTTGAGAAGTCAATAGATACAAAAGAATTCAGATTTTAATAAAAGTAGTTGGTTGTGTTGTTCCAGGAATATGTCCACATTGTTTAAATGTTCAAGTTGGTTGGCACTAAATTGCTCTTAATATCTTTGTATGTTTCAACTGTCTCTAGGATCTGTAGAAGTTTTGGTCAGAATTCGGTAGGAATTGTTTTATGATCTCTTTTTCTTGATGAGTCAGATTAAATTCAGATCCTTCATCTATTATTTATGACATTTGTCTTCTTGTTGAATAGTTCATATATTTAAGATACAAGCCTTTTATCAGAAAAATGATTTTCAAATATTTACTACCATTCTGTGGGCTGTCTTTTTCACTTTCTTGATAGTGACCAGTGCAGAACAAAAGTTTTTTAATTTGTATAAAATCCAATTTATCTTTTTTTCTTTTGTTGCTTTTGTTGTTATATCTAGACAACCACTGTTAAATCCAAGACAACGAAGATACACCTGTGTGTTTTCTTCTAGGAACCTTATAGTTTTACCTCTTACCCCTTGGTCTTTAATACATTTTGAATTAATTTTTGTGTATGTGTTTTTTTTAAACATTTTAATTATTTATTTTTAGAGAGAAAGGAAGTGAAAGAGAAAGAGAGGAAGAGAAACATCAATGTGTGGTTGCCTCTCAAGCGCCCCCTACTGGGGACCTGGCCTGCAACCCAGGCATGTGCCCTGACTAGGAATTGTTTACAGGCTGGCACTCAATCCACTGAGACACACCAGCCAGGGCATTTTTTAAAGATTTTATTTATTTATCTTTAGAGAGAGGGAAAGGGAGGGAGGAAGAGATGGAAACAAATGATGTGAGAGAGAAACATTCATCAGTTGCCTCTCGTACTCACCCTGACCAGCACCAAGCCTGCAACCCAGGCATGTGCCCTGACCAGAAATAGAACCTGTGACTTTTGTTTTGCGGGATGATGCCCAACCACCTGAGCCATACCAGTCAGGGCTGTATATGTTTGAGGTAGGAGTCCAGCTTCGTTCTTTCGCCAGTGGCCATCCACTTGTCCCAGCACCATTTGTTGTTCCTTCCTCATTGGGTGGTTTTAGCATATAACACACACACACATCACAACATATATAATATATAACACATATACTTGTACATGTTATATGGTATTCCAATTCTCTACTCCATTTCCCTCTCCCTCTCAGCTAGTAGATATATATTCTTTTATTATGTGTTTATTGATTGCACACAGCACTGATTTAATAATTTACTACTTTTACCATTTCATGAACAAGGCAATGGACATTAATTCCATTTCTTTCTATGTGCCATTGTTCTAATTTATTTTAATTACATGTAACACATATTTCTAACCCCACACGATATTAGTTTATGATCTCACAAGACATTAGACTATAATTATTTAGATTTACCTATGTACTTGCCTTTTCCATTGTTCATTTCTTCTAGCAGATGCTACAACTTTCTATATGAGATAATATTCCTTCTGTATAAACAAGAATCTTTAGTATATTCTTTGTAAGGTTTGCTGTTGACAAATTCTCAGATTTTGTTTGTCTAAAAATGTCTTTATTTCATTATTTTAAAGGACATTTCTGCTGAGTATAAAAATCTAGCCTGCAGTTTCTTTCAGCACTATGTAGATACCATTTAATAGTCTTCTGACTTCAGTTGTTTCTTCTGAAAAGTTAGTTTTTCAGTTTTACTGTTATTCCATCAAGAGTAGCATGCATCATCTCCCTGGTTGCTCTGAACACTGCCCTTTGTCTTTGGCTTTCAGCATTACGCTACGATGCGCTCTTTGTGTTTATTCCTACTGGAATTCATAGGGCTTCGTAAATCTATGGCTTCACTTATTTCATCCATTTTGAAAAATTCCCAGCCTGAATTTCAAATACCGTTTCTCCCCCCTTCCTCTCCTCTCTGGGTTCCCAATCACAACTTGTATGACATCACTGGACCATGGAGTCTCGTGTGTATTTTATGATCTCTTCTGTAGTGTCCACGCTTTTGTCTTCCCATGCTTCAGTCTGGGGATTTTCTTCTGGCTTTACCAGTTCACTCATTCTTTCTTTACTTCCGCCTAATCTATTGAATCTATCAATTTCTTAAGTTTACATATTGTATTTTTTTGGTTCTAGAATTATATTTTGATGTTTTTTGAACATTATTGTTTCCAATCTTCTGCTGAAATCATACAACTTGGCATTTAGTCTTATCAGCATATTAACTGTAGACATTTTAAAGACCACATCTGATATCTCCAGTATTTGGACATTATGTGGGCTTGTTTCTATTATAGTGTTTTTATCTTTAATTCAGCCATATCTCTTCTTCCTGTTTGTCTGGTCAGTTTTTTTAAATTGAGTGCCATACCTTGCATTTGAAAAAGCTTAGGAGATAAAATGAGACCTAGGATGACGTTACTTTCTTCCAGGGAGAATTTACTTTTGCTTCTGATAGGTGGCTAAGCCTGAGCACTAGCAATCCCAGATCTCTTTAACCCAAGTGCTAACTGAGATGACTGGCATGCGGGCTTCAGGCCATTGGGGAACGAATCACTATCCAGGGTACACTTCTTCTGTGCCCCAAATGGAATCCTGGGTATTTACCAGTCTTTCGGGGCCAGCCCTGAATTCTACCTTTTTTTCTCTAGCTCTGTGAATCTGTCAAAAGTTTGTTTGTTTGTTGTTGTTGTTGTTGTTGTTGTTGTTGTTTAGTTTTCAGCCTCACTGGACCTATACTAAAATATTATCTTTAGTCTCAGCATGATCCAATGGAAAACTTTCTAAAAATAAGAAGCCTAAGAGGACATAGCTTCCAGTCCTAGATATTCTCTTTGTCCCTTAAGCAGTCCTATGATTGTGCTCTTGTGTATTAAAGGATGACCATTTCTGCCACTCACTTGACCCAATTATTGTTTGAACATAAACTTATATAGTGGCAAAATGGCAAGCAATATACCAAAGGGCCAATATGTTCATCAATTTAAACTATAGTTGTTTAACCAATATTAAGCAATAAGAACAGACTGATATGAGTTAGTGAGGATCTTAAGAGTATAGTTCATTTATAGAGTTTTTACATTAAAAATAACACAACCATTTTTAATATTTCTAAATCTTATAGAACATTAATTACCAAACAAATAAATATTGGTACTTACTTTCACATCCCATTTGTGTGAAAAGGTTCTTCAGGTCAGGATGCTTGGTTTGTGGTTGTACTCCACACACAAATACTTTTGTGCAATTATTATTTGTTAAGATGGACATATGGGCAACTGTGTACCACGAACCTGTATTGACCATCAAGACATCATCATCCATATTTAAAAAAGCCTTTACAGAATGCACAGCAAGACTTCGAGATTTGTCCTGCAAGATATGGTACGATTAGAATTTCGAAGGGTTTAACTAGAAGCATGAAAAGTACTTGGTAGGAATCTTGATGAGATACCTAACCCATTTTATTTTAAAACATCTTACATGTTAAAATACAAAGTTAACAAAGGTCACTTAATATAAATTGATTTAAAACAATGACCTTTGTTTAGTTTAAATTATTACTTTTACCATTTAATTTTGATACAGTGATGAGACAACGTCAAAATCCCCAGTAAGTGATTAATAGGTTAGTGACGTCCTGCCTTGGCTCCCGTTCCTATCCACTCACAAAACACACTCCTCATGGCTGCCGTTCTCTCGTCCCCGTTACACTGTGATCTAAACTGCTGCTGGCTCCCGGAGATGAAAAGATGGTTGACAAGCATATAAAAGGAGGCTAGACAGACTGGCATTCGATAGAGTGCCGCTCTAATAGGAGATCAGAAGATCCGTCCCGAGAATATGGGTGCAGTGAAGGGGTAAACCTTAGAAGACCAAGGTGAATCTGAGGTTAAGTATTGGAATCTAAGGACATGAAAATTAATTCAACTTAATTTTTTGAACCTTTTTTCATTTTATTGAAACCTCATATCATCTTATATTCTCTTCCTGTATTGACAGATATTATACCCCTCTTACAAATCAAAGCTGTAAAACTATATTAAAGAGATGATGGGAAAGTATTACACATTAGAATTTCAAATCAGGATGGCACTAGCATCTTCAGCAGAATTGTAAGAAAGAAAAGGTATCACTGTGCCTTCTCTTGAATCTTCCCTTGGGAGAGAAAAATAGAGCTCTTAGTGATACAAGTCTCCCCATCTATGAAGTCTCCGGAAGAATATGTTCTTCACAAATTCACACAGGACAAAGATGCTAAAGTATAACAGGAATACTGATTGTAGGGGTATTAGTTTTATTCAAGGTAAAAATTAGACCTTATAAGCCTCCCTGATAATCTATAAAAAAAATATATATAATCTGTTTGTTAGGTTTTAAGTGGAGGGATTTTTGGGGTAAGTAGGATTATTGGGAATCATAATGAATATAAATGTTAATTTACCTGGAATATTAGTTTATAATCTTTGAAAAGATCTATATTTAGAAGATCACTTTTAAGATGAGATGGAAAAATTAAGACATCATAGCAATGCTGGTCCACAGCAAAGACTTTACCACCCATGTGCAACACACATTTCACTTTATTGTAGCCTTTTTTCCTCAAACTGTGATAAACTTCTTCAGGGCTGTAAACATACAACATCAGGTTGTGACACAAATACAATACATTAAAAATGTACTTAACATTGGCATCTTTTCCTACAGTAAAAATTTACCACTGCATATACTGCAGCTAATGGAACTTATAATTTTAGGCAACAATAAGTTAAAAGATAGAGACAGGAAAGTTAACATATTTGTGTGGTTATCTTGGTAATTTGGTGGTAAGATTCTGATCCAAACTATGATGCTCCAATTACTCCCCTGGATGTGCCCCACCCATAAAAAAGGTAATATTTCTTAACACATTTTTTAAAAGGTTAGCAACCGGAAATATGAATGAAGAATCTGATTAAACTGTTACCTGATTTTACAAGTATTTATCCAAGCATACAGTGGCAAAGTGGAGGCCCTCAGCTCCTGGTTCCGAACTGTTTCTGGAAGAATGTGGTAAATTGAAAGGGCATCATGTTTGATTCGACATCTTGCCAATGCTGCAGCCAATTTTGTCTTAAAACTAGAGACAGAAAACCCATTTTTGGTGATTACTGCCTTGAAACAAGACTATCAATTTTCTACTAGAAACATTAACAACTTATATTCCAGATTTTAACAAGTCCTTTTGTAATTCTATTCCAAATTTTTGTAGTCTACAGCACAAGTCTGCCATATCTGAAAACAGAAATCCAACCATCCTCCGTCCTCTTTTCCGTTGTCGCTGCCCCGGCGCAGCTGTGTGTCCCCTCAGGACTTGCACTGACCGCTGGCTGAGAGACAGACCTGATGTAGTGACAGAGGTGCAGGAGTCACAGTCAGGCAAATCTGAAGATAAGTTCAGGTTCTGCCACTTACTGGCTGTATGACCTCACGATGGCAATGGTGTAGTCTTGAAAAGATTAAGGAACTTTCATGAAACTGTATCAAGCCCGTCCCAGTTCTGATTATCCCACACCCCAAAGTTCCAAATGACAGGGAAAAAACCCAAGAATTGGTTAGTATGACCCTGAAGACCCCATCATTTTTCTTGATCTCATAGACCCAACTGTACAAATAGCCAGAGCTTTTTTTTTATGTGTTAACAGTAGTTATAGAATTCCTAAGCTTAAATCTTCATCCCACAATTTCTCAGGGCTACAGGTGACAAGAGACAGGACTGTGTCATATCTGTAATCTTCCAGAGTACTTCTGCCAAACCTTGCTATCCTGAGTGTAAGGAGTGGCAGCGGACAAAAAACAGACATACAGAATCAGACTTCCTGAAATTGAGTCTCTGGCTACTCCCCTCTCTAGCTCTACAACATTAGATAGGTTCCTTTCACCTGTCTGCGCTTCCATTTTCCCATGAGTAATAGTAAGTATTGGTAACAGTGTCTACCACATAAGGTAGTTATGTAAAAAGCTTCTTATAAGAGTGACTGAGCCCTGGCTGGCGTAGCTCAGTGGATTGAGCACGGGCTGGGAACCAAAGTGTCGCAGGTTCGATTCCCAGTCAGGGCACATGCCTGGGTTGCAGGCCATGATCCCCAGCAACTGCACATTGATGTTTCTCTCTCTCTCTCTTTCTCCCTCCCTTCCCTCTCTAAAAAAATAAATAAATAAAATCTTAAAAAAAAAGAGTGAATGTAGACTTAATCAAAATCACAACCCATAAATAAATGCAAATGCATAGAAGTTTAAGGTAAAAAAAAAGGAGTAATTGATACATATTATGTGCTCAGTAAATGTTAATCCATTAATATTACTCCATTACCTGAGTCTTCTGGTCTCAGCCTTCAATGATTTAAATGAAACTGCTTGAATGTCCCATAACAATATAAAATTAGATATCCCCTGGCTGGTGTAGCTCAGTGGATTGAGTGCGGGCTGGGAACCAAAGTGTCCCAGGTTCGATTCCCAGCCAGGGTACATTCCTGGGTTGCAGGCCAGAACCCCCAGCAACTGCACATTGATGTCTGTCTGTCTCTCTCTCTCTCTCTCTCTCTCTCTCTCTCTCTCTCCCCCTCCCTTCCCTCTCTAAAAATAAATAAATCTTTAAAAAAAAAAATTAGATATCTTACTGCCAACTTTTCAAATCATTCTTTAGGTAAAAATCTTCCTGCAAGATTGTGGTTGTTGTTATTTGCTTTCTATTAAGGTTCAATAGCATAATAATAAAAGCCCTAACAACAGTAGCACTTAACATTTATTGACCATTTACTATATTCTGAATCTAATCTAAGCTTTTTACATGCATTAATTTAACTGGTTAACTTTTTTATTATTACCTACATACTAGGTTTCTGTTAATATTTAGAATAAGAAGAAAACAAAATTAAAACATGTTTGTTGTTAACTAAATAAAAAATTCTTTTTTTCAATTTGTCAAAGCAGTGGATTCTGATCTACTATTGGAATTCTCATTTGATATGTTCAATTTTTCAAAAAGAACTATAAACAAAACTAAGAAAATAAATAATAGCTATCTCAAATGAAGTTTAATTTATGTATGTACAAAAATTATTACTAATTTTTCATGATTTTCCAAATACAAGTTGGATCTTACAGTTCAAGCTTTCAAAAACAACTTGATTTTAAACATAATATTTAACCTGTTGAAGACTGTTTTTTTTAAAATATTTTATTTATTTATTTTTAGAGAGGGAGGGGAGGGAGATAGAGAGAAACATCAATGTGCGGTTGCTGAGGGTTATGGCCTGCAACCCAGGAATGTACCCTGGCTGGGAATCGAACCTGGGACACTTTGGTTCCCAGCCCGTACTCAATCCACTGAGCTACACTAGCCAGGGAAGACTGTTTTTAAAGGAACTTAGGAAACTTAAGAACTTTGATTTTTTCTCTATAAATTTTAACACTTATCTATATATTATACTTTATAGAGTTCTGCCAATGAAAATACTAATAATGATTCCATATAAAACATCCTTTTCACTTTTACAATTACCTATTAAGAAGGTTCTCTACTTCTTGAACTTCTGCTATGGACTCTTCATGATCAGCAAGGAGACGAGCTTGAAATTTTCTATCTTGGAAATCATACAGCATCACGATAATTAGACTGTTCAAATGATCTGGCTACAAAAGGAACACACAAATGAAAGTATATAAACAATATCTAATAGCAATATTTTCCATTCCATTCTTTTTCATAAGAGAGCAGGAATATGAGTATTTTTACATAGTCTGGTTGGACTGGGAGATAAAGACTTCAAAATTAAAAAAAAGTTTAGTAAAAAATAAATCTTTCCAAAGAAGACACTTTTTGGTATATTCATCAACATAAAAGGACTGGGGTCAGTATTAGAAGCACTAGAAGTAGAAAAGAGTTAAGTATACACTTTGAAGAGGTGTCAGCATTCAGCAAACCAGGTATGACTTAAACCTGAAGGCTTTTTAGTACTTTCCAAATAACAATCATTGACACAGCTAATTATATAAAAGTCATTTACTTACTATTGTAGTACTTGGAATGATACAGCTATCTATTAATATAGTTTCCAAAATATCTTGATCTGTAAGATAAGGAAAATGACTGTTACTGTATATACCAAAGCTGAAAACAAAAACTTTGGAATCAAAATACACTTCATACAATGTTATAATATCTAAAACATATCTTGATTTTTGATAAAGATTTAAATTACGATGACATGATGAAATATTTCCAATCTTTATTAAGCTGGACCCTAGTGGCCCAGGCACCACATGGGACCATACCCAAAGGTGATTTATCTGAGTAGTCAAAGTAGTAAGAAAGAAATTCCAACCTTTAACATGTCTTTTGAAAAACATTAAAGAAGATTTCATTCATAATGTCTTATCTTTTTATGTATTGCTGTATTCAATTTGCTAATATTTGAGTTATGACTTTTCTTCTATGTTTATGTGCATAAGGAATGGTCTCTAACTTCTTGTGATATTCTTGTCAATGTTGGTATCAGGGTTAAGCTGGCCTTATGAGTGGGAAGATTTCCTTCTTCCTCTGTTCTTTTGAAGAGTTTATGTTAAATTGGTATTATTTCTTAAATAGTTGGTAGAACTAATTTGTCAAGATGTTGATAAAATGTGAAAAGGTCTAAGCCCCAAATTACAACTAGCCACATAAAGATCTATGAGGAGAGAGTATGCCAGGCAGAGAGATGATGGCAAAATACTAAGTGGAATCAAGTGAACATATTTAAAAATCTATGCAGGGTACCAGTGCCCCTTTTGTTGTAACTACTTAAACCACATATACATCTTATAACAAATACTTTAGTAAGTTGAACAGAGAGCTAAGCTAGCTTCAATTCAATGTTTACGGGTAATCTACTATTTGCACATTACACACTGAATTTCAGTTTTCATTTGGGGGATGGGAAAAGGAAAAAGAAGCAACTAACTTGGGAACACAATTTTCACAGGAAATCCTTTGGGAATCATTATCCATATCCCCATTTCACATATAAGAAAAATGAAGCTTAGAGTTTCACAGCCTTAATACTTGCAAACTAGTCCCTATCTACTTCATAGTTTCTCAGCATGAGTCTCAATCTTTGTCATAGAAAATATGGTCATCGAAAGAATGAAGGGCTTCTAAGGTGGCAGACCTACGCAGGCTGTAGAACTTTGAGCAATGGAGGTGCTGCTGGACTCCTAAGAAATAGGAGAGGCAGAATGAACGAAAAGAAGACAACACAATTTTGCCAACGTTGCATTTCTCCCCACTAGGGCTCCTGTCAAAACTGATATTGTCTTTTGGGCTGCCTTTGATATCATGCAGAATGTACTACCTTTGTATATCTACAGTTTACATAGCATTCTCACATAGTAATGTCCACATTAGTAAGAGCTGTATATTTTAGATAGTGCCTTCTATGCTACACATTGTTCTAAGTGTTTTCCACATACTAATTCATTTAACTTTCACAACAACCCTATGAACTAGGTCATCGTTAATTCATTTCATAGATTAGCAAAAACGACATAGAATGGTTAAGATGTTCATAGTCATACAGCAAGTGACAGCTCAGGGACTCAAACCCAATCCTGCATCAAAGAGCACGTTCTCCACCACAACGTCACACTGCCTTCTCTCATCTTACTCGTATGACCAACCAGAGTGGCTAAATAAAACACACTGCTAATGCCTGATTTGGGTAATGAGGACCTACTTGAAAATTGCAAACCTTGCCTCTCCTATTTCAGCACATTAGTTCCAATTATCCCTGCCTCCCACTAATGAAAGCCTTTTGTCTCTGTTGAAGGGAACTCTTAATCCCCACTCCTCCTGTTTTCAGAGTGGAAGGCCTTCCCTAGACACATTCCGGACACTCCTTATCTCTTGCTCACCACTCCTTAGGAAAGAAAAATCGAATTTATTTGACTGGTGAAGTTGGAAGAAGGAACTGGAATATCTCTCTCCCATCCCTCTCTCCTTCCCTCTTCCTCTCCCATCCGCTCCACCCCTCTCCCAGCTCGTCTGCAGAAGGCGTGCATGAATGCCAGGCTGTTCTTTGCCACGTGCGATACCTTTCATGAGTCGGGGTGGAGGGATTTCTGCACGTCTTCAGCTGTGCAGTGGATTAGATGGGAAGTCTCTAATTCAGGAGTAAAATATTTGCAATCCACTTGACTGGAGATCTAAAGCCATATCCACAAAATATCTTTTTCCTCTCTCTCAGCTGGTTCCAAAGTGAAGCATAAAAGAAGAGTGCTATCTATTGGACCCCCTAAAACTCATAGTCCATCTAGTTATCCCTCCCATTCTGGAAAAATAGAAGACGATTCTTCTTTTGACTCTCCCCTAGGTTCTCTCTGTTTTTTATCGTGTTCATAGTATCTTTCATATGAGGGACCTCTAAAATCTTCACTTCAAGAATGTCACGCCTCCTATAATTATACAACATAGGTAGATGGGTTTTTACATGCATGGAAGGAGGAAAACTACAAAATTAAGTCTCTGGGGCAAAATGAGAAAGAAGAGCCACTAATATTTTTGAAATAATATTTGAGAGAAGTACATACAGGGAAAAGCTGATATCATTATACAGTTAAAATAAACAATGTGGAACCATAAAAAGCCAGGATTGGATATGGGGTTGATATTCTACCACCCTTTCAACCAAATGAAACTTTTTTTTTGTTCTTCTTCCTGCTTGATTACTTAGGCACATCATTTAATCTCTTCCTGGGCTTCCCTCAATTTTTTCATCTGAAAAATGAGATCTTTCATCTCAAAGGACTGGTATATCAAATGATATAAATTGTTTTGTGAATTACAAAGAGCTATGCAAATATAATGTATTATTATTGTCAATCAAGAAAATTGCTTTAACCTGTTAGGTAACAATCAGAGAGTTTAAGAGGTCATTAACCTAGAATCTAGATCATTTTTCTGAGTCACTGTGCAATCAAGAATAAACTCAGAAGTCCTGGGTGGCCAAACCCTGCACATTTCAAAGAATGGTTTGGTCCTTGACTGGCTCCTGGAAGATAATCTCTACAAGCCCTTGGAATATCTTGCCTGATAAAAGCGTCTTTTTTATCTGGGTCTTTGGGCAACACAGTATGAGCTTGACTTTTGGAAAAGAAAGAGATTGTGAAAAGTCAGTGGCAGGGCATTCCGTGTGTATATGTCTGACCCCCAATAAAAACCCCGGACAGCAAGGCTTAGGTGAGCTTCCCTGGTTGCCAACACTACATTAGCGCTATCATACCATGTTGCTAGGAGAATTAAGACCATCCACAAGACTCCACTGGGAAGAGAAAATACTAAGCTTGAATGGGGTCTCTCCTGGGCTCTGCCATATGTACCTTTTCTCTGCTGCTGATTTTAATTTCTAAACTTTCATGTTAATAAACTGTAACCATGAATATAACAACTTAGCTGAGTTCCATAAATCCTTCCAGTGAAATCACTGACCCTGAGGTTGCACTTGGGACCCCCAACTAACAACTACTAATTCTCAAACCATACATTAAGCATTTACAGAGTTCTTCACTGACAGGTTAAATGATTCTGAAATGACCACATTAATGCCACAGTCAGTTCCTGGTACTGAAAATTTACCACCTACTATATACCCAGAAAGGTTGGAAGAAGAATTAAGCTACCAATAGGATCAACAATTCCAGAGACATATCTTTCCTCAAGTTCTCTTACTTTCTTTAAAAAAATATTTTTTAAGAAATCATTTTGCCAGATTTTCTTCTCTTAAAATATTTAATATTCCTTGAAACATCCAGAGATTCGTTTGAAAAAAACACATTAGCTGCCAGTACTCTGCTTCTGTGACAGATGTCAAAGTTAATATGTATAGGCTACTCTTCATTACCTGCTTTAGCAGAAAAGCGATCTTGGGCCTATTTAGTAAAGCAGAAGTAGTGACTGTCTTCATTTCAAAAAACATATGGAGCCCTTTAAACCTTTAAAAGGTTAACCAGCCCTAGCTGCTGTGGTTCAGTGGATTGAGTGCTGGCCTGCACATCAAACAGTTGCTGGTTCGATTCCCAGTAAGGGCACATGCCTGGGTTGCTGGGCAGGTGCTCAGTAGGGGGTGCTCAAGAGGCAGCCACACATGGATGTTTCTCTCCCCCCTCCCTCCCTTCTCCTCTCTCTAAAAATAAATAAATGAAAAGTCTTTTTTTAAAGGGTAATCAGATAAATACACTCTCTGCTTTGACAGAGCTTATACACAAAGAGGGACATCATCAAAGGAACAAACAATAAAACTGGAAAACATAAAACCCAACCAAAGGAATATATTTAACATTTCTTTTATTAAGGGATTTTCTCTGACATTTTATTCCTCTCCTGTACTTCCTCAAAATTAAAAAAAAAATAGGTAAGATGATCTGATTACCTATTCATAAATTCACCAGAAAAGGGACCATTTAAGCAAGTTCTCTTTAGCTTGTACATTAACCTTTTTAGCTTTCCTGCTCCTATAAAACCTTAGGAAAGAAATTCTGAGTTTTCTTTCCTGTTACTGTGATTCCCTGAATCTATACCAAATAGGAGCTTACAAAATAACATGTGAAAGTACTGATGATGCAGAAGATAAATGTGAAACAACAAGAGCCTCCAATATTTTACAGCAAAATATCAGGCTCTTATCTTGGAAACCCACTGAATTTAGGAATTCTGGGTTTATTCCACTGGAACATTCAGAAATTATTCAGATAATAATTTAAGCAATATATTATTATTATTATTATTATAAGAAGAAGAAAATAATATTTGTACCAAGTAAACATCCAAAGCCATACTACTTAGAATCTGAACTTATTAAAAAAACGAACCTTTCAAGCAAAAGCAGGTTTTAAAGGCCTACGACAATAATTTATCTGAATGGAGTTTTTTGAGTCATTTACAAAACATCAAATAGTAACAAGACCTTTTCATGAAATAAAGATCGAGAAAAAGAAGGATAAGCTATGACGCACATCACCAGAGCAGGACCATCTAATTTGTGCAGAATTTTACATAAGACAATTTCAGACTTTTAGTATTGTTTTCTAAGGTAAGACTCAATATTCAATGAGGAAAATAAATGGTCTACAATAGAATTTTGGCATTAATATTAAATACCAACTAATCAATATAGATGCTCAATTTGCATTTCATTCTTGCAAAGAAAGATGTAAAGATGTTCATTTGACTCACTGGTTAGTCTTTAAGATTAAATCGGAGGAGGAAAAATGGTTAAGACAGATTGTAAAAGAAAAATATCACAAGCAAGAGAAAAGAAAATGAAAACTAAAGGTAAGTTGCCTTTTAACATCAAAGAAATTTTTCTCTGTGTTCACAAATCCCTGGCTTCAGATTTCAACTACATCATCTCGGCAACTGAAAATATATAATCATGTCTAAGAAATTAATGAGATATTTTAACTCCACTAAACAATTGTTAACTGCCCATGTGCAAGGACGTGCAAGGCCCAGGAAGGATAAATATACTAAAAACATATACACAAATGAGGTTTTCTCTTTCAAGTTGTCTCTTTAGGAAGCCATATGGTTATTATTTCAATCATGCTGCTAGTACTCCATACATTTCTGGAACTCCTTTTTATAACTGTATTCAGTCACTTTACTAGCCAATCTGCTTACAAGCCAATATCAACTTCATAGTTTATATTATATTATAATATACAGTACTATATTATATTAAAGTTCACAGCTAGTACAAAAAACAAATGTCTCCAGGCCCTTTGACTGCTTGCTCTCACTCTCATGTGAATGCTATTTTGCTGTCCTGGGATCAGCTCCGCACTCAGAAGTTAATAATCACCACCAAGGGAGTCTGAAACACGGCATCTCACACCCTGAGGAAAATTAGAAAGCAGAATTCTACAAAAGCATGGAGGAATAAACTTACAAGCTCCCCAAATTAAAGCTATTGACTATGAATGGGACCATCTTAATTGGGGTTGACTTAATTTTGATATTCATTTTTAATATATTGCACCTTCTCATTCCAACCCTGTTCCTCTCCCACCCTCTTACCGGTTTTTAGTTTATATTTGTGAGAGTTCATACATTAAATTACAACATGTAAGCCCAGAATGGAAAGAAATCTCAAGGAAAGGGAAACTATACTTGGGTGCTCCAATGGACTGTTCTTCCTGCTCGTGGAAATGTTTCCTCGCTCAGTGTAATGACTGATTGACATCTACCCAAGGACAGGGCAGCATGCTGGGCAACATCTACACTGAAACCCAGTTTTGGCCTGAAAGAGCTTGTTTTACTGGAACTCTCCTAATTCCTTGACATTTGCAACTGACCAAAGATAATCATATGCATAAAAACCCAAACGTGGTGTGCCTGACGGGGCTGCACGCCACAAATTCTGTTTTCTTGCAGTGATGACCTTCAAGGCCGCTGCTACTCACACTTCAGGGCACTGAAAGCCAGCTCGTAGGAAGAGCGCTGAAAGGATTCATCCTCAGACTCGGACAAGAACCGCAGGGGTTTATTCCCGTACTTTATTAAGACTTTCTCTGGTGACTTTTCGATTCGAATACCCTGAAAAATGTTCGCTGCCATAACGTAAACGGGGTCCGGATAACCAGCTTTTTCGGGAACACCGCCAGAGTTTTTTTCGCTGGATGCTTCGTCATCTGATAGTGACAGGCAAGCGAGCTGGGAGATCTCCTCGCCTTTGTTTTCGTTCGAATACTGCAGTTCACTCAACTGTAACATGTTTGCCCCCTGACTGTCGTCGATCACAACTCAGGTGTTCCAGGAAATGGTTTTTCTTCTACCTTAAGCATCATCTCTGTGGACAGAACAAGGTTGTCTCAGTAAATCACTCTTGCTGCAGGATCACACCTGGTGCCCCACTCTGTTGTGGCTTAAGGACTAAGAGGTGGCGTTTGCTGGCCGCCCTGAGCATCCCGTACTTCGAGCCGAACAAAGACCCAAGAAACTTCCGCACACTCAAAAGGGAAGAGAGGTGGAGACAGCTGGGGAATCTCCACCCCCACCCCGCAAGTGACAGGCGACTTCTCCCCAGCCCGGATGGGGGACGCAGCTCCCCAAAGAGCCGCGTCTACGGCCCCACGGACTCCCCTTTCTCTAGCTCCCGCGAATCCTCCTTTACCCCAGAGGGCGGATGTTTCCCGGGGCTGTGGGGACGGAGATGCGGCACTGCGAACACCGAAGGCCGGCGTCTGGAACAGTGCCCTCGGGAGCCCCGGGACCGCGGAGCGGCGAGTGAGGCCAGCGAAGGCCGTTTGGTTCTCCCACCGGCCGGGTTCAGGGCAGGGGGCCGGGGCCTCCGGGGTTTCCGGAAGGAGAACGCGCCGCAGCGCCCCCCCCCCCGCCCCCCCCGGCCTCGCGCAGTCACCGGTCCCGGGCGCGGCAGCTAAGCGACCTGGAACGCGAAGCCGCAGGACGGGCTCAGGACGCGGAAGGTACGCCTCCTCCGCCTGCAGCCCTCAGCTAGCCTAGGACCCAGGTCTCCATAGCAACCGAGAGCGGGCAGCTAAGGGCAGGAGGAGCGGCCGCCGCCCGAGGGCAGTTCCCGCGGGATTTGGCCGGTGCAGCCCCCACATCCGCAAGTTACTCTTACTTCTCTGGACACCTGTGTCAGCCGCCCCTCGCCCTCCCCCGAGGTCCAAGGCCCCTTGCGCGGCTCCGAGGGTCCTCGACTTCGCGCAATCGGAAGTGGTCCGTATTTACCGACACGCCCCGTGAGGTCCCCTAGAAAGCCAGAATTTTGTGTCGCTAACAACACCCGGTTTAGGGGGTTTGGCACAGGCGCAGGAAATGATAACAGATGAGTGTACAACTACTGAAGACAAGGGAAAAAAAAAAGAGGAGTCTTACTTTATTCCGTGTTTTTAATAACTCTAGATAACACGTTAGACGGACTCTTCCAGGGTAAGTTAAAGATCTTTGCCAATTTAAGACTGCATCCTCCATTCCAGAAGTTGCCTGCAAAGAAAGGCGTTGCTGAAACGGACCTACAAAAAATCAAATTTGTCTCACCCTCCAAATTATTGAATGCAACTGGAAACATATATAAACTTCCCCAAAAGGTTTTAATATGGCTACTTTAATTTTTGAGAGCCCTTGAGCGGAGCCTGCATCAAATAAAAAAGATAAATGTAGTGGGAAAAATACTGATTTCTAGAATAAAACCAAGTGACTGAGATTTAAATTTATTGTTGAGTGTGTGCATTTTAAACACTTCATTGATGGCCTTTTAACTTATTTTGTTATCTCCAAAATGCCTGTTCTAAAACCGAAAAGGAAGGGAAAAGATTGCTGTTTTTTCTATTGCCACTTTGAAACTTCTCCAGCAATTTTCAGTAGATCTGGTAGTATAATAATTTTAATGCCAGTTGCATTTTCTAGAGCCCTATTGCACTCTAATTGCTCTTATAGTGAAATTCAATGAACTAGTGCAAATGTGAAAACATTAATGTCATGCAATGAAATGTCACATGTATGAACTTCACATTCCCTAGTTTAGAAACACCTTTTGTAAAACAGCATTGGACATTAAATTATGATATAACTTGATAAATTATGTTTCAAGTTTTACGTGGAAAAAACATTAAATCTTTTTAAGAAATCCATAAAATAGATGCTAATATCTATTTAAAAGAAAAAAATCTGCTGGATACTTGGTCTCCATTTTCTCCATAAAGAGAAAGAAACCAAAGTCTGCAAGTTGAGTGAAGTTCTTAATTTTGCACTGAGATCAGAGTCATATGAAAAGCTTGCAAGTGCAAGCCCTAAATTTAGCAAAAAAGCATGCTAAATATACTTAAGTTAAATAACCCTAGAGACCCTCCTGGCTACTCTTTGGGAATCTCAGAATATTTGTCCACCTGCTTTGTAGAAGTGGCCCAATCTGGAAAACAAATAATTTATATACACACTAACATTATTATAGATACTCAGGGATTCTACATTGTGTTCTCTAATCCTTGTTATGTGAAACAGGAAGGGATAGACTTTGGCCTTTGATAAATTTACATCTGTGTAATCTTAGGCAAGTCTTTAACATCCCTTGGCCTCAGTTTCTGTATCTAGAAGGTGGAGATAGTACAGTAGTACTCCGTTATCCATGCGGGATATGTTCCAAGACCCCAGTCAATGCCTGGAACCACGGATACTATTGACTCACATTACCTATCACTATATATAATATGTGGCTATAAATTTTGCAGTTTGGGGTATGACAGCAAAACTGGCATGAATTTCTTTTTCCTTCTTTACAATTTCATGGATGGAAGATTTGTTCTGGTACACTAGATTTTAGCAACCTCGGCATATAATTTTTTTCTTTCCTTATCAAATGCAAAACGTTCACCTTTTCACTTAAAGGAAGCATTTAACGTCTTTGGCGTATCTAAGTTGCCAGCATTACTACTCTTACACTTTGGGGTCACTATTAAGTAAAAAAGGGTTACTCAAACTCAAGCACTGCGATGAGCACCATGACAGTTGGTCTGAAAACCTAGATGGCTACTGAGTGTCTAACAGGCAGGGAGTGTGCACAGTGTGGATCCACTAAACAAAGGGATGATTCACATCCCTGGTGGGACAGACCAAGACAGAGCCAGAGTTCATCACACTATTTAGGAAGGCATGTGATTGTAAACTTGTGCATTGTTTATTTCTTGAATTTTCTGCTATTATATCACTGTTGACTGCCGGTAAATGAAACTTTGGAAAGTGAAACCTTGACTAAGAGAGTATGCCCGTAATGCTTACCTTTGAGGATATTGGTAAAGATTCACTGAGATGATGTGTATCAAGAAGAGTGTCTGGAAAGTAGTAAGTGCTCAATATTTTTTTCCTTTTTATTGAATTTATTGGGATGACACTGGTTAACAAAATTATACAGGTTTCAGGTGCACAGTTCCACAAAACATCATATGTACACTGTATTTTATGTTCACCACCCCAAGGCAAGTCTCCACACATCACCATTTATCTCCCCTATACCCTCCTCTACCTACCCCCCTACGAGTGCTCAATAATTGTTAGTTCTTCCTTCCCCCCTTGAAATTTGACTTATGAAGGTGCTTCTTGAATCTTTAGATCCTAGAAGGTATGAAATTACAGAGAAAGCTAGTGTGCTGAACTAGCATCTGCAAGGCTTTTACTAGGGTCCATACACTGGACTTGTTTATAAACACTTAGAGAAATTTTTGAGGTAGACTGGTATAGTGCAGTGGCTTTTAACTTTCAAGCATCTGAAGTCCTTGTTAAAAATGCAAACTCCTGGAACCTATCTTCAGAGATTCTGCGTAGATCTGGGGTGGAACCCAGGAATTTGCAGTTTTCACAGGTAATCGGAGTTATTTTCATAGCACAAAGACCACATCTGAAAAACTCGGGTATAATTTCCAAAAAGTACTGGTTCTAATTCCACTTCTGTCTGTGACTTGGAAAAGTGCTTTACCTTCTCTGGATTTTTATTCTCCCTTCTACAAAACAGATTAGTTATCTTGGCTTATTTTACATGTGGGTTGTGAGACTCAAATCTTCCTTTCACTCTCCTGCACATCTACCGAGCAGTATCTTCTTGTCTGTCAGAAATAAATGTAAACCTTTCAGCAACAGAGATGGGTCCTCTGTGATCTGGCTGTAGTGTGCCTTTCCACCTTCACTGCTTGGCACCCCAAAGCCATTCTCCAAACTTCCATATCTTTACACAGGCTGTTAAAGTGCTTCCCTTTTGGTCCATCTGGTGAATGCCTACCCAATCTTTGAAACTCAGTACAAGCATCACTTCTATAAAAGACTTCCTGATACTTATGTCGGGATGTCAATTTAGTCTGTGCAAAATAACCACCGGCTTCAACAAAAGAGAAGTTTATTTCTCACGTAAGTCCTGTTGCCATAGTGGCCGTCCTCTAGGAAGTCATCAGGCACCCAGACTCCTATTCCAGGCTGCATGTGAGGCTCTGCCCTTGTCAGCTTAGTCCAAGATGGCTTACCAGCATGTCCGTTTCCAGCCAGTAGTTACAGGAAAAGGAGCCCTGACGTGTGGCTCAGGTGTTTGGAAGGGTCACCAGTTTGATTCCCAGCTAGGGTTCCTGCCTGGGTTGCAGGCCTGGTCCCCAGTTGGGGCATGCGCATGAGCCGACCAATCAATGTTTCTCTTACACATAAATTTTTTCTCCCTCCCTTCCCCAAAAGAGGAAAGGAAAGGCACACCTATTTCTTTTAAGGATGGGACCTAAAAGGTACACACATCACTTTTCCTGACATTGCATTGATCAAAACATAGTCATGTGGCATACCTAACAGTAAAGGAGGATGGTAAGTGCCCAGCTAAAAATCATGGGATCTATTGCTATAACAGAAGGGGGGACTGGGTACTGGGGAACAATCGGCAGTCTCTGCCACTAAGCTCTACCCTCTGACTCCTTCACCAACTGATCCACTCCCATGATTCCTAGAATATCAAGAATGCCACTTCTGTGTTCCTGTTGTATCTTGTGCATACGTATATGCATTCATTCATTAATTTAACAAGTATCTATTAAATTCTTACTGTGTACCTGGCACTATGCTCAGCCCTGGAAATAGAAAATGAATGTATTGAAATTATCAGGGGCTTGATCCCCAAGAAATTAATGAATATACTTGTATTTTGGCACCCTTCCATTTTTATTACAAATATTTGTGCATATATCTGTATTCCCCTTGTGTCTACTATCTCTGTACCTGCACAACCAGAACAACACACACACTAAAATGGTTTTCTCCTATCTTTTTATTTTTATTTTATATCTTTTTATTCCCAGATGCTGGCAAAACATCACTCTCTTTCATACGCACATACACATGTGTACAAGATTATAAATATAAGATGTCTTAGGGGTCATGATGTATTTTATTATTTATCACACAGTACACAGTACAATCTGCTGAAAGTGTGAGGTGAAAGCTAGCTACAAACTCAAAACACTATTGTCTTTCAAAATATCATTTGAGGAACCTCCTGTTTTGTTTTTTTTAAAGATTTTATTTATTTACTTTTAGAGAGGGAAGGGAGGGAGAAAGAGAGAGAGAGAGAAACATCAATGTGCGGTTGCTGGGGGCCATGGCCTGTAACCCAGGCATGTGCCCTGACTGGGAATTGAACCTGTGACACTTTGGTTCACAGCCCGTGCTCAATCCACTGAGCTATGCCAGCCAGGACCCTCCTGGTTTTTTGATGATAGATCAATGCAAGTGACAATTCACTGTCTTGAAAACAGGATTTAATGAGAGTCTCTACCACCAAATAAAGCATAGGCCAACAGTTGTGGGTGGGGGAACTCATGGTTGCTGTTTACCCTTAGCATGTGTCTAATCCTGCCCCCTTGCCTCTCACTTCTGGTTTATGGCCTCATTGTGGAGGGCCCGAGGGGAGCTCACTGAATCTTCGTGAGCGCTGTACAAAAGTAACCATAGAGATGAGTGTGTGGATTCAATGGCTGTGAAAGCAGAGTAGTGAAAATTGTAGTCTTTGTTTAAGTCTCACTCTGTAATATGATCAGAACATTAGATGAGAGATGGTGTAGAAAATTAAAAGTTAGTTACCTGCAGCTTTCTGCCAAAGGAACTTAAAGAAGTGCTTCTCTTTCCCCAGGGGGTAGAGTATTTGAAATATTTGTAAATTAATATTCCTTGCATTTGACTCAGAGTAGCTCATGTATGTTAGCCAAGTAGGTATTCAGCATACATATGCTCACTTCTTCAGTTGATCTGGGCATATACAATTGCTCAGTTCCACTAAGGCCTGTTATAGAAATGTAAAAAACATATGAAAAGTAAAGAATTTTAACTTGTGTTCTTAAACACTAGAACACAATTTATAATTATTGCCATTTAGAAATAGTATAGTCAATTTTTTGCAACAATTTTTAAAATTGTTTTATTGTATCGAGTTATCTAGTGTTCTATTGTGGACTTAACCTACACCCAAGTAGGAACTTTGGGGCATTGGAATAGACATCAGGAACCCTTTTTATCAGAGGGTCCTCAGGGCCTCAAGAATAAGGCGCACTGGGGACTCGTGGTCGGATACTGCAATACCCTATCTCCAAAGGAGGGGAGGGAGCACCGATGCCCAAGAGGCAGGAAACTCACCCCAGGTAGGTGAACATCATGCTCTGATGCTGGGT